AGAACAGTATATGCGAATCTTCCTCTACAAAAATATTTTATAGATTATAATTTTGCTATATATTCAATTTATATGACAAGTGTACATATGTAATAAAAGTTTTGCTCCAAAGATGCATATCGAAAAAAAATTTGTAAGAATTAATATCCGTGTTATTTTGTAGCCACATTCATATAGGGGGTTGTTTAGTTCCCAAAACAAAATTTTTCACCCATTACATCGAATGTTTGGACACATGCATGGAGTATTATACGTGGACAAAAAAAAACAATTACACAGTTTGCGTGTAAATTGCGAGACGAATCTTTTAAGCCTAATTGCGCCATGATTTGATAATGTGGTGCTACAGTAAACATTTGCTAATGACGAATTAATTAGGCTTAATAAATTTGTCTCGTAGTTTCCTGGCGGAATATGTAATTTGTTTTGTTATTAGACTGCGTTTAATACTTCAAATGTGTGTCCGTATGTTCGATGTGACAACCAAACCCAAAAATTTTTCCCTACTAACAAGGCCTTGCGCCCTTAGAATCTTCCTCCGGATTTTCTTATTCATCCCTTGAGCCTTCCCTTTAAAGTCCCATATTTGTCCTCTTAGTTTTCTTCTAAAGTGCCATATATATTTATCCTCTTGGGTCCTATATATATATTTGTTCTCTAGGCTCCCATATCATCCTCGGATCTCTCGTCTCGATTCCTATATTTGTCCTTTAGGATCCCTCATTCCATATATATTCATATTCTAGGTGCTTCATACATCCTGAATTTAGTTAATTTTATTCATTTTTTAACCGATTCAGAAAACATCTTTTTTCCATTATTACAATATTTCGGAAATTAATGTAAGAACTCGTAAAGTTGCACGTTTGTAGTTTGGTCAAGACCGGTGATGATGTTCTTAGTTGTCTTTTGACACAAGCTATTGCTCATCTTTAAATAGCAGCATCAATAATCCGTGAATTGTGGCCCCGGACAAAACAAATTGACCTATAACAAAATGCTAATAATGTGTATATATAAGGAACAACAGTACCGGGCCGAAAGAAAGAAAACCCATCTGGACAAGATTTCTCCATCAAAATTTTATAAACCAAACACATAATAATAGTACATGTACCATCACTAGCTTGTAACTATGGGCACACACAATAAATGGGTTTTCGTTAATTTCAAATAAGGACATATGGAAAAATGAATCGATCAATGGAAATTTGACTACAAATCTTTTTTTCCCATAAAAAGAACATTTCTTATAATATATCTGGCGAGCTGGTGAGAATATAGAGAAGTATATATAATCCCCTAGCTTATAGCACTAATTAATTCCTGGATTTTTAGCTTTACTAAGTGTCACAATCTTGAGTAAACATTTGGATTGTTTGGGGAGCTAGCCGAGATTCTCGGAGTATCTATGGCTGCTAGAAGCCCCCTAAAGAGGGCATATATTTCTTATCTATATTTTGATTCTATTCATGAACCTTTTAATGAATATATAAAATACAAAATTTAAGTGATAAAGTCACAAGGTATTGATTGGCCAGTGAAATTCGAGCCCAGTGAGACATCGATTTTTCGCCAATCTAGAAAAATCGACACATTTCGAATGAATTTCCATAAACTCCAAACATGATAACTCGAGATGATCCAAATTCCCGAAATCCGATCAAAATTCATCGAGCTTGTGAAGCCTTACTCTGCAGAAAGAACATGTCCCTCCTTACGAGAAAGAAAAAAAAACCAAGAGGGGAAGCACCACTGGTGCGGTGCTGAAGTAGAAAATCTGGTGTTGAAGTCGTATGCACATGATTTCACCCACCAGGGTTTAAATCGTGATGTCCAAGAAAACTATGCACATGCAGTTGGGCTTCCAACAAGTTTTTACTGAGATCAGAGATGCGCTGTTGGTTTCCGACTCTTGGAGAGTGTATAATGGTGTGCGCGCGCGTGCGTCCATCTTAGTAATCCGAAAAAACAAGAGTTATCTCCCGGTACATCGTACGTACGTACCACGTCCTCCATGCACACATTAGCTAATTAACCTCCACAGTAAATAGTAAATATACTCATTCCCAATCCCCTTCGGGGGCCTTCCCTCTCACACTCACACGCCCTATAATAACCCCTCGCCAACTACCACGCCCACGCCACCACACACGCACACGAGCTGTGTCGATCTCTCCATAGCAAGAGGCGCAAGCTACCTTGCCAGCCATGGAGAACCCCTACTACGCGAGCTTCCTCAAGAATCACCACCGCCGCTACTGCTTCTCCACCCCGCCGTCGCCGTCGCCGTCGCCGGCTGGCGCTTACTCCTCCTCCTCCTTCCCGTTCTTTCCGACGGCGGGGGTGACGTCGACGACGGCCGCGACGCCGCCGACGACGACTGCCCCGCCGTCGCCTCCGCTCCGGGAGGCCTTGCCGCTACTGTCCCTCACCCCCGCCTCGCGCGGCGGCACGACGGCGGCGCAAGAGCGTGCGCGGCAGCGGGGGGAGGAGGACTGCACCGACGACGACGACGGCGCGGAGGAGGAGGGGGCGGACGAGGAGGACGTGCCGGGCTCGACGCCCGGCGGCGGCGGCGGTGGAGGCGGCGATAGACACCACCAGCTCCGTCGTCGCCGCGCGGGGCGGCTCTTCGCCGACCTGAACACCAAGGCTGCGGCGGGAGACCCGATGGACGTGGAGGGCTCCGGCTCCGGCTGCTGCGCCGCCGAAGCCGCCGCGGCGGGGGACGACGACGCGGACGTCACGGTCGCGCTGCACATCGGCCTGCCGAGCCCGACCGCCGCCGCCGACCTCATCTCGGGGCTCTCGTCAGCAGCCGGGAGAAGATCCTCCACCGCGCGTCGTGACGAGGAAGAGGACGAGGCGGAGGAAGCCGGCGGCGCGAGCAGGGACGACGGCGACGGCGGCGACGCCGCCGACGCCGCGGCGCCGCTAGGGTTCGCGTCGACGCCGATCGGGCGTCTGAACAAGGGCCAGTACTGGATCCCGACGCCGTCGCAGATCCTCATCGGCCCCACGCAGTTCTCCTGCCCCGTCTGCTTCAAAACCTTCAACCGATACAACAACATGCAGGTCAGCCAGCAATTTCTTCATTTCTCTTCACAGCTTAATTCTGCTAGCTGCTACTGTTCTTGCTTGCTCTAGATTATCGCTGCTCCATTTAATTTTATTCTTTTTTGCGATTCTTTGTGGGTTATTGCTGTTCAGTTTTGTCGCAATTCAAGACTAATAAGTGATTAATTTACTTAGAATTAGACATAGCATCATGCGTGATCCCCAAACTGTACCACTAGTGGTCCTCTTGTTCGTCTTCCCCCGTTTTTGTCGTCATGGTATGACAAAGCATATGTCTTCTTCAGTAGATTGATAAATCCCTTTTCTTAGGCTAGAATAAATCCGATCTAGCTAGAACTAATTTTTTTTTCTTTCAAGCATATCCTAATTGCAATCACCTAACAAATAAATGATACCGACAGTAGGCGACGCAATTTTTACCTTTTCTTTCTAAGATCTGGCTATGAAAAATTTCTACAGTAGTAGTTCAGGAAAGCTTTATGGCTCTTGAACGAACGCTGCATATCTAGCTGGGTGTAATTACTTGCTAGTTCTTTTGTCGGAATAATGTTTGACAATGCGTCTCACTCGTTCTATATATACCTCTTGATCCCATTAACGTATGCTTCTTATACTTAGCTAGTTACTCAGCCTCGATCAGCATGCGAACGAAAACCTGCACTACCTTTATATAAAAACAAAAAACTGAATTTTATTTTTGCCGGGTTGACTGAAAGAATTAGGCCGACCGAATTTTATTAGGATTGGTAAGAAGAAAGCCTGAACCTAATTAATTACTTAAGAGTTATCTGTTTACAGTGATTAATTAAGTGATATACATATGTATCTATGTAAAAATATCCATATATTCACCAACCTCTCTTTGCATTATAGATACTCTGCTAGCTGCTAAACCTACATATTATCTGAGAAATTCTTGACAAAAAACGTCCCACACAACATGCAGCTGATCTTGGAATTATCGTACACTAGTAAATCTCGATTATCAAGTGTGTCTTGCCACTCCATAGCCGGGCTAGCTAGCTTAAGAACATGAATCCCGTCTTTTCTTTCTCTGAACATTAATTTGTTCTTTTGCTCGATCTGTCAGACCAATGAACGATGAAGCATGAAGCTCCTATTCCAAAGTCAATTTTTTTTAGAAACACAGTATAAACGTAATCGCTCATAACACGTGTACATTCATCCATATGAACACATACACGCACACCATATTTTTAATGAACGACAAAGTATGAAGGTCCTATTTCCAAAGCCATATAATTTGAACTACAGAGATAGCTATTTTTTTTCCATTCGAAAAAAAAAATCCATTCAATGAGATAGCTATATTTTGAAACTGGCGACCTATTTTCAAAGCCATCTAGTTTGAAACGGAGGGAACATGAAAGCTAGAGAGCAGTTCAGTTCAGTTCTCCTTCGATTCCATGGCTGCTAGTGCTAGCTCGTACCTTTTTGTTTAGCTTATCGTTGAAATACGACGAGTACTAGCAACTGCTAGCAAGCAAGCTATAAGAGAAGGAGATTTGCTCCGGTCCAAAAAAAAAAAAAAGTTACCTCAAGGTACTGGTACCCTGTGGTACCAAATCGTTTCGGATCGTTAGATCTAACAATACCCATACTACCCAGCTATATCCGACGATCGGAAATGATTTAATACCGTGAGTTACCGCTACCTTGAGTTAGAGCAAATCTCATAAGAGAAGTAGTGGATACAAGCTACACGTGCTGGTGTCTGGTCTGGTCTCTGAGATCACCGGAGATTGAGCTGAGCTGAGATGAGGAGGAGAGGGTTGGAGTTGTGCACGCACAGTGGCCGCCTTTTCGTGTGATTGAACAAGACAGATATGGCCAGGCCGGGGCAGCCATGCCATGCAAATGCAAATGCAGTCATACATGCATGCGACTTTTATGCTTTTCTGGGGGCGCTCTTGCTTTTTACAGGGGGCTCTCTTTAGAAATGCGCGCATTATTAGAGTGGTGGTTCGTCAGAGCTAGCAGAGATCCCAGTGAAGATCTCTTCTCCAGAGACTTCACCTTTGCATGATCTGCATGAATAAGATTTGTACTAAGTAGATTAGATGAGTCCTGGTGTATCTATTGATGGATGGAAAGAGATCTCATTAGCATGCATGCAGCAGCTAGCTATAGTGTGTGTGTCTGATGATATCTCTGATGAAAAAGCTTAGCTTTGCTCAGCTCAGCTGCATGCACAGACAGGCAGGGCAGGGGCCAGGTGTTCCTGGTGCTAGCTACTTTCTTCTACTCCAATGGTGTGAAGTGTGTGTGGTAGTATCTCACAGCAGCCAGCATGCAGTCCACTACCATATGACACTGATCTCTCTAGCTTTCAGATGATGAAGCTTTTTTGCCAAGCTAGCTTAGGTTGGATGTTTGATCAAGCCACATTAACCTTTTCTTCCTTCGTTTCTCACTTGTCAAGAGCTAGTGGTTTTGCTACAGCTGCCGTTTACCTCTCCCAAGAACTGCAAGAGATGTGCAGTGTTCTTGCTGTAGCTTAGCTCCACTGTCCCTGACGCACACACTGTGCTCCTCAGGCACAAGCACGCCACACACTCTCTCATCTCACAAGCAACAGTCACAAACACACAAGCAATGGTCTACTCCTACTACTAGCTAAGCCATAGCCTTGTCTGATCTGAAGAGCTACATATATAGCGCCCTCACTTTCAAAAGGCCGGCGTTTCTTCTGCGCTCATGCGGCTTCTCCGGTTTATCACAGCTGCATGCATGGGGAAAGCCGGAAAGTTTGTGTGAGAAAGAGCAAGGAGAGATTGATGCATGAGCCGGCCAGGTCCAGCCAGATCGACTCCCTTCTGATTATCCGTACTAGATGTCTGCAAATATCTCAAGATAAGCAAACGCATTAAAAAGAAAGCCAGTATACGGTGTCCTAGTACCACACTGAAATGAACAGCAGCAGTAACAGTACAAGTCTGCATGTTCACATGGAAACCACCATTGCCTGAACCCAGCCTGCAAATCCAGCATACGATCATACAGACAACAACCTGACATCTGCGTTCTGAGTTACTAGCGGTGTACGTACATATACACGGAGTAGTTTTCAGGAGTTGTGTGTTGTGTTTTTCTAACTTAGGGCGTATATAGTAGTATTGTACAATGTTTATTTGATAGAGTATATACGTAATACAGTAATATGATGAGTTCAATATGATAATATGCAGATGCATATGTGGGGGCATGGGTCGCAGTACAGGAAGGGGCCGGAGTCGCTGCGGGGGATACAGCCGACGGCGATGCTGCGGCTGCCGTGCTACTGCTGCGCGGCGGGCTGCCGGAACAACATCGACCACCCGCGGGCGAAGCCGCTCAAGGACTTCAGGACGCTGCAGACGCACTACAAGCGGAAGCACGGGCTGAAGCCGTTCCTGTGCCGCAAGTGCGGCAAGGCGTTCGCCGTCAAGGGCGACTGGCGCACCCACGAGAAGAACTGCGGCAAGCTCTGGTACTGCCTCTGCGGCTCCGAGTTCAAGCACAAGCGGTCCCTCAAGGACCACGCCCGCGCCTTCGGCCACGGCCACGGCGCGCTCGGCGGCGCCGCCGCCCTCGACGACGACGACGACGGCGCCGTCTCCGACCTCGACCACGACTCCTCCTCCACCGCCCCCGCCGCCCGATCCCTCTAATCGCAAAGACCTGCTTCGGTCCAGCAAAAAGTATCTCGAAGTACTAGTACCTCACATTACTAAATCGTTTCTGATCGTTGGATTTAGCTGGATAAGATATGTATTATTGGATCCAGCGATTGGAAACAATTTGGTACCATAATGTATCGGTAACCTCGAGGTATTTTTTTATTGGACCAGAGTGAATCTCTTCATTGTAACAACACTACTACTATGAACTACTAGTCTACTACGTTCTACCGTGGATGTATACGAGTTTGCTCATCGGTTTCGCTCGCTGTTGGTGATTGTCTTCTTCTTCTTCTTCTTCGTGGTACGTAGTACGGCGTACACACTGTTGATGATGGTGGTGGTGTCGCCATCTGGTGGGACGTACACGCCTTGTTCTCTTGTTGATTATTAGTGCAACTCCGTGATCTGGTATAGTAGGAGGCTAGCTTTAATTTTGCTAGGGCGATATCTCAAATTGATCGCGCCCGTAGCTTTGTCGCGATCAAGGAATCGATCGATCGATCGTGTCTAGATTTTCTGTTTTGTTTTGTTATTATCATCTTTCTTGTTTAATTGGTTGGGTGCTGTAGCGTGGAGTGGTCTGTAAGCTGCATATATTGCCTGTGAATGCAATGTGTGTACGTATTTGCCAGCGGGTCTGATATTCTCGATCGATTTGTTTCGATCACCTCGTACAGTGGTATGTACTTTCGTTCATCTAGAATATGAGATGCTGCGTTACAAGGACGCGATGTGTGCGTCAGTCAATTTGCTTACTATACACATGGAAAATTGACTGACGCAAATTGACTAACGCAAATTGAAAATAATGGCGTTTTTATTCTTGTTTGTCCATCATATATACTATACACATTCAGACGAAATGTTTGTACAGAGTTTGGCTCAAGCTTGTACATACTGTTTTTCATTTGCATGTTGTTTCCATATACTACCATAAGCAAAACACGTATTTGGTATATACGGGCAGGTCCTGGGTGCTCACGTTTATAAATATGTGATATAGTACAATTGAGAAATTTTATGAGATTAGTGGATTTGTTCATGGACATTGTCTGTTGAGACCTTGAGGGTGTTAGTTAAGGCCTTAAGGGGACATGGCTCATGTCACTAGCTAATGTGTATACATGTGGCATGTGTGTTTATGTGGGTTCCATGTGTTTGCCAAAACAGTGTTCTCATTGGCATTTTATGTCTGGACAAAAGCAACCACCAAGAATGTACCATCACCTGGACATGCATGGAAAGTGGCCCTTGATGATGTGCTTGAGATGGAAACTAATGAGCGGTAACACAGGTCGAAAGCGCACAAACCGTCATAGATATCAAACTAGAGTAGATGAAAAGGTACCAAAGCAAACGTCATAAGAGCAGTCGAGGAGTGGCGGATGACATCGGTCAAATAGGAGATAGGCAAAATTTTCTACAGGACATGTAAAAAACGTGTAATTGGCTAAGAGGCACCGTAAAAACGTGACACGGCTGATTGACACTCTAAAAATTGTGTAATTGGCTATAGGACACCGGAGACAATATTTTATATTTTCCAGATCAAAAGAGGTGATAATATTTTTCAAATGGCGAGATTGTCCCTGCCATGGAGCACCGCCGCCGCCAATTCATCGGATCGGATTGCCTCCGCACCTACCTCGCTCTCTAGCCTCCTCCTCCTCGGCAGCCGTCGAAAGGTCCACGGCCAGAGGGGAGTCGCGCTGGAAAGCCTGCATATGTAGTACTTGGTTGTAGTGTAGGATAAAAAGAAGAAGAAAAGAAGCCAACAAGGAAAAGAACTCACGAATCCCCATCCGCTCTTTGTGAACTCCTGCCCCACTGTCCTGAACTGGCAGTTGATGGAGAGGAAGAGCTCCACGTATGGCAGCTCGTCGACGATGGCCGCCACGACGCCGCTCTGCAGGCTGGAGGAGTAGTCGGTGATGGCGAGCTCCCGGAGGCGGGACTCAGGCACGCCCAGCTCCTGCATGAGGTAGCTCTTGGCGAAGGAGCCGACCTGGAAGCCGATGGGGTCAGAGCTGGCGATGAGGCCGTCCAGACCCTGGATGTCCGTGGACAGCTACTGCACCATGAGGATGGAGGTGAGGCTGGCCGTTGGTCGTCACCGTCGATGTTGGTCCTCACTGAACGAGGAGATCCCGGCGCTGCTCGTCGCCATGGCGTTGGTCCTCGCTGAATGAGGAGATCCCGGCGTTGGTCCTCGCCGTCGCCGGCAGTGATACCCCGGCGGAGCGCCGCCGCTTTTTCCGCCGCGTACCGAGCCGTCCCAGCTCAGGCTGCTGTTCCTCTGCTCCGCCGCGTGCGTGAGGAAGAAGGAGGATAGGAGAGAGATGTGGGCCCCACTTATGGTTAGTAAATAGTAATCACCCTACTAATTAGGAACAAATTAGTCCATGACGCGTGGGGCCTGATGGTTAAAAACCTATTAAAAATTAGATTAAACATACACTGTCCATGACACATGGGACCCACCGGTGTTTAAAGAAGGAAAGAGAAGGGGCAAGTCAGGCATTTAGAAAAATATCTCACCTCTTTTGACCTGGAAATAATAAAAAAAATGTGACCGGTGTCCTACAGCCAATTACATGTTTTTTTACTGTCCATCAGCCGTGTCATGTTTTCACGGTGTCTCTTAGCCAATTACACGTTTTTTTTGCATGTCCTGTGGCAAATTTTGCCTAGGAGATATGGTGCGTCATGAGGGAGGATGTTAATTACTTGCAGGCAACAATTGTGAAGTATCACAAGGGGAGACAGGGCAAACGAAGGGAGAGAAGGGAAAATGAGGATTCGGGTGAGTGGAGGGAAAAAAGTTGCGCATGGTAATGAGTGGGGTTAGTTTTTCTTGCTAGGTCCTCTCTATGGAATTGTTTTTTTTTTCAATTTTAGCATTGTGTTGTAAGATTTGGAATTTTGTTATCTTCGCCCATTAATTAAAAACTCATGGCCTTCTTTTGAAAATGAAGGAATACTAATGGATTTGTACTAGCTAGAGGAAATTGAGCTAGCATCCTATCAAAACCCTAGAAAATGTTTACATTGCAAATGAGTCCTAAAGGGGTTTCTAGGAAAAAAAAGAATTAATAAATGGATCCTCCCCCAAGATTTTTGAGATTTTAGATACCAGCTAGTACTAGTATTAATTAACTCGTGGCAGCAAATTCAAGCTAGGAGTGGATAATTTTGCCATATAGCTCTCTTTTTTAATTTCAACTGAACCTGTCGGTTCAAACAACGCCAGGTTTTGCTAGAGCTAACGCTATGCGTTTGGGATGGGGCCAATTTTATCACCATCTCTTCGTCTACATCTGGAAAACAATAACCTCCCAACCCTGTATCGGTCAAGCTTCTACTGTTGCTATGTGTTCTTTCCTGTGCAAGCATCCGAACCTCCCCTGCAGAAAGGCTGTGAGAGACATGTCCAGTTGTTTGTTTGCCCTAGAAAAGGGAAAAAAGGGAGCAATGGGGTATTGTAGCTGGAGATACTTCCAAAAACAAAGATGTTTCCTTGCCCAAACATTTATATACTCCTATCCTACAATTGGATGGAGCTGTGACCTACCTGTGCATTGCATGTACTGTAAAAGAAACAAGAGAGAGAGAGAGAGGGAAACAAAGCACAGAGATGAGTAGTATGTGTGTGTCACTGTGTGTAAGTGAGAGAGAACAAATAGCTTGGGGATCTTCTTTTCACGAGGAGAGGATATGTGTGTAGATGGAGATCAACTTTTTGGGCGCACTTGAAGGCTCACCACGGAATGGCCGACAAAAGTATGTCTAGGCAAGGTTGATGGATGGATGGAACATCAGATGTACATGCTTGCTACCTGCTGCTGCTGCTGCACACACAAATACCATGAGATGTTCATGTCAAATGATGAGCTTTTCTCATGCATCTCTTGGATTGAAAGGGAAAGATACATGAGAGGGAATCAATGGGGGGACCTGGAATATTATTATTGCCGCTAGTCAGGCATGGAGGAAGTTGCTCTTCTGCCAGAGCAGGCCGGGACGACACACTGTATGCGATTGCCTATCTTACGAGTTGTGCTGCCTGGGGTTCCGTTCGTTTCTGCAACTCGGGCAAGCAACTCCCTCGTTAATTCTTTGTGGATATACTTATCAAACTATTTTAAGGTACATTTCGTAAAATAAAACTTTATATGTAAAAGTTTCTTAAAAAGATCAATCAATTTCTAAGTTTATATAATTAATAGTCAATTAATTACTCGTTAATGATTTTCTTTTTCATGCCATGAAAAATCTCACCTGAGTTGTTGAAACGACCATGCCCTTAATTCTAGCTTCCAATGGTTACAGCTTCTTATAGAATCACCACCTCTTCTAAATGCTCCATCCAATTTAAAATATAAACCCTCTGCCCTATAAAATATAAAATTTTATACATTAATCTGGATATAGTCTATGTATATTCTCGTATAAAAGTTGATTTATTTTGGGATGGAGAGAGTAAGTATTTCTATGATTCAAATTTTACATCATAATATTATAAGGATTCATGCACTTATTCCCAAGATTCATATCATTCTATTGATGATTCCTAAGACAATGAAATGCTTGAAATAAAAACTAAGCAATTCAAAATTGACAACTGAAGTTATTTACATGGAATCTTTTGACCTAACCTTAGTATTTGTGTAAGAACAATTTTACGGTACTTGAGAAGATACCATGAGGTACTGCCTTTTCAATTGTAAATTTGATACCTCGTGATACCTAAGTACTATGATATACCAAATTTTACACTAAATCTTTGGTACCCCATGGTATCTCTCAAGTACAATAAAATTGCTCATTTGTTTAAACCTAAAAATTTTTACATTTTGGAACCGAGGGAAGTGGTCCATATACTCATCTAGACTATGTGAATCAATAGCTATAGGATTCAGAATGAACCCAGCTAGCAGCAAGAAGTTGGGAAATCTAGTTTTGACATACTCCCACTAGCTGATGACTCACCAAGCGATGGCGGAGACAAGGGGGGAATGGATGGAGTCAAAGCTCCCTCAAATAATTTCTTTTTTTATAATAGGACCATCTAACTAATTAGGTAATTATAAACTGAATAGTAGGGTGTTAGACCCTCTCCGATATTCTTGGGCTCCACCCATATCTAAATAATGGCTAGTATATGGCGATTTCTCTTTTGCTAGGCCCGGTGCTAAAAAACCAACTTTCTTAATTCTCATAATCGTCGGCCCCTTGCCAATTGATTTTGACTTACTCCCTCCGTCTTAAAATAAGTGTAGTTTTACATTATTCACGTTCAACGTTTGACCATTCGTCTTATTTGAAAAATTTTTATGATTCGTATTTTTATTGCTATTAGATGATAAAACATAAATAATACTTTATGTGTAACTAAATATTTTTAATTTTTTCATATTTTTTTCAAATAAGACAGACGGTCAAACGTTGGGTACGGATATCCACGGCTACACTTATTTTGAAACGGAGGTAGTACTTCTCAAAACTTTCAACCCAAAACAGGGCCTTAGCTTCATCTAGACGACGGATCGATAGATGGAGGGTTGGTGTAACGTGCACTTCACGGGCACTGCATGCATATCCTCCCCTTTTTTTTTTTTTTTGTCAATCTTACCCGGCCCTCGTTACCACAAACTCATGCGTTTCATATATGCAGTTTGCAGGTGTAAATAGATTGCTTTTCGGGCAAAACAACACCGAATACCATGGGAAGCTAGCTTGCGTTTGATCCGGCGTGCGAAAGCAGGACGAGACGAGAGGGGGAGCAGTCGATCGGCGCGGCGCGCGGTAGCTGCTGGAGGACGGGTCACCTCAACGGGCACGCGTGTGTGAGAATTTTGCAGGTGGGGGAGACCGGCCGGACCGGGCAGGCCAGCAACGTGACCCGGACTCCACGTACCCCTTGTAGTACCATCTGCCACGCAGAAACACACAATCAATGCGACGCTCTCTTGCGTTGCGCATGCACACACACGCGCGCTGGCCACTGGCCACAGACGGAGTACTGCGTTGGCTGCAAGTACTGAAGTACATTGGTGTCTTTTTCGCGCCCTGCCAAAATGTGTATCGGTAGCTGCCTGAATAATTCGTGGGGAGGAACTTTGGGAGATATGGAAATTATTGCCCTGCTATGCAAAGTCTAATCAACACCAGCAGCAGCTTCAGTCTTTGTCCTGAAAAGTTGGATATGCCGGTGCCCCAAAGTACAACCTACCGCTACCGCTGGCCTGGCTGGCTGACCAGGCCGGCCCTCCCGCGCCCAGTAATTTTCCTTCAACACAAAAAACATCTTTCTTTTTTTTTAAAGAAAAAACGTAGAGCTGGCTATTTTATACTCGATCTATTGCAAAATAAGCGCAACCATAAATTTCGGTGTCCAACCTTAATCGTCCATCTTGTTTGAAATTTTTTCATGTTTAGTATTTTTATAGTTATTAGATTATAAAACACGAATATTACTTTATGCGTGACTTATATTTTTTAGTTTTTTTTAAAAAAAATAAATAAGACGAACAATTAAAGTTGGGACACAGAAACTCATAGTTGTGCTTGTTTTGGGAATAAGGGAATATATATTTTTGAAACACATTACATACACAAATGCTTATAAACACGCGCACACAGTTGACCTTGTGAATACATACACATCTTTTCTCTATGAGCAACCAATATATCTTGGGATTGATGAAGTCACCACCAACGTTTCGCTGTCGACATATACCTTAAGGCTTACGAAGACACTACAAGCACTCCACAATCGATATGTACCTTGCGATTGATGAAATCATCACGAGCACCTTGCTGTTGACATATACATCACCTACACCTGGAAAAATTAGCCATAAATGCGGGTACCCATGCTAAATCTAAGATTTCAACCATAGTTTATATGTTTCACGAAATGAAATCTAACCAGCTACGCTATGCAAAATTCACAGGTAGAAAATATTTTTGTAGGAACAAAATAAGCAAAATCAACTGCATGTGTAAAACGGCACCCTAAAATTCCATGGAACACTAACATCAATCTTAAATATGCAAATCATATATTGTGCCTCTTTAACTTTTCAAACTGTTTAAGTTATATCCCTTGCTCGAACCGGCCTAATTTGGCCTATATGACTCCAATCATTAAAAAAGAGGATCTTTTGAGAAAATAAAAGGTGAGGGCGAGTCCGACATGTCACTTCATTAGTTTTCTCCTCTCTTTCACCTTCTTCCTGATCTAAATTTTTTTAAGAAGGCAAAAGCTACATCTTGTATATATAGGGGGTGTTTGGAAGAGAGGGGCTAAACCCTAAACTCAGTACATACGAACCCTTGAATAAATAAGAATTGAGAAGTATGAAATGTGGGCATCATAACAAAAAAAGAAAAAGATCGAACCAGTAAGACTAATGTATACTTATTTATACCTTTGAGAGGTCCACTTAGACTATTATGATTTTCTCTTTAGCTACGTAGGTTATATAAGATTCAATTCAATCTAACAAGCGGACTGGACTACCTTCGGCGGTGCCTAGCCTGTAATGCTTGCAAAGTCGCTAGGCGGGGTGATAAGATGAAAGAAGGTAGTATGTGCATCTCAATAGGCCTAATCGCCTTAAAACTAGACCCCCAGGGGGTCTCCCGGCTGAAACAAATATGCCCTATTTTCCGATACCTGATTAGTTGGTGTGGACAAGTAACCCTGAATCTGGACTGTCGCTCTATTTGATCCTCTTATGTTGGCCCTTCTGCATCATCCAGCAAGGCTCGGAAGTCTGAGCTATTAAGGTCTAGTTGACGTATAAGAGGCCTTCGATATGTTAAGGGAGAGAGGGGAGAGTCATTTTAGAGTTGGGTGGGAATCGTTGATAGAAAATTTTTTTCCCTGAGGTATGATAGCGTCTGAACTAAAGAAAGGGAATATGGAAAGTGCAAGTGTGGTAAAGGATACCAAGAGCCCTGAATGATTTTTAGGCGTCTTTTCTTTGAACAAATAAATCTAACTCTCTCAAAAATATAAGTCCATCTCCTAGAGACTTATATTTTTGAGAGAGGGGCTAAAGTTTAGCCCCTCTCTTCCAAACACCCCATAGTGAGGGAGTAAACAAAATTAAAGTATGTACATCGACGTGTGAAAGTCCTCGCCCGACTTAAAAAGGTCAAAGTACGTAATCTCCCCCCAAATAGAAACTCTTAGAACTTGGACGCTCCTACTTTGACCCAAGCCCCAGCCTCCTATTTGATTTTGCAATCACGGAGGTTGGGGATGGCGATGTGTCGAAAGATTCTAGTGTTCTGCTCGCATAATAGCACCCAAACGATGAGGGTCTATATTCTGAATTTTCGTCCAAAGATTGATGAATTGTCACAGATGGTCCTCCGTGGTTATCTTTAGGCTGCTTTCGAACCTCAAGGTTCCCAACCTCTCTCACTTTCTTTCGCGCGCACGGTTTTCAAACTGTTAAACGGTGTGTTTTTACAAAAAAAAATTACGAAAGTTGCTTTAAAAAAATCAAATTAATCCATTTTTTTAAAAAAAATTAGCTAATACTTAATTAATCACGCACTAATGGACTGCTCCGTTTTTCGTGCGGAGGGGATGGATTCCCAACCCATCCTATCAAACGCAGCCTAGTGTGTTCAGATCCCTGACCCAAATGTTTTGGTATAGTGCATTCGCCACAGTTCTGTTCTTCTATTTTGAGGCCACAAAGATGTCAGGTGCTACGAGTTCAGAGTTTGGTTCTTTAATCACTATGGCACGCCAAAACTTTTCACCCCTGGAAGTAAATAGGGCCTTAGTTCGCGAGACGAAATGTTTTGGTGTGTCACATCGGATATACGGACACACATTTGAAGTATTAAACGTAGACTAATACCAAACAAATTACAGATTCTGCCTATAAACTGCGAGACGAATTTATTAAACCTACTTAAACCGTCATTAGCAAATGTTTACTGTAGCACCACATTGTTAAATCATGGAGCAATTAGGCTTAAAAGATTCGTCTCGCATTTACACGTAATCTGTGTAATTACTCACTCCAGTTTCATTTTAATTGACGCTTTGGACAATTACACGCTCTACAAAATATACCTTTGACCTTATTTTTCTATTATAATATATACAATAAATAAATACATGTTTACTTTTATTATAGTGTTTTGAAAGACAAATCTATATATGTTTTTCTAAACTAAATATTTTTAAAGTTATTGATGGTTAAAGTTATAAAAGTTTAACCTCAACCTTGTCCAAAACGTCAATTAATATAGGACCAGAGGGAGTAGTTTTTTATCTATATTTAATACTCCATGTATGTGTATAAACATTTAATGTGATAGGGTGAAAAGTTCTTTGAGAGAGTGAAATGTGCGTGTTCTAGCCGCCGATGTAAATGTGGAGACCAAGAGTCAAAACTGTAAACAAACAGTTGGAGCAACTCCAGTCAGCAAAGCCGCAGGAGCTGAAGGATGATGACCGAGAGAGAGGCTCAGAGGCCGCGAGGAAAAAGCTGACAGGAACCCACTTGGGAAGGCTGGCAAGAACCGAACGCGACGCAGCGCGGCGAAGTCAGCAGCTTCCCTCCCTGCTCTGCTCTGCGACCGCGGCCGGTCGGACCGACGGAAGCTCGCCCGTCGTCGTCGGCGAGCTGTAACTAATCGCAGTTTCTTCAGAGTTTTCTGAATGATGCTTATGATACATGTTTGGACCACCTCCACTGCGTGATGAGGACCATGATGACACTGCGTGACAGCCACCGTTATTAGCACGTCAACGACTGACTGTAAGTACTACCTATGTACTGTACTACTAGAAAAAACGTGGAGATTATTAGGGTTGGTTCAAAAATCACAAGGAAGTTGCTTGTACTCTCCTGGTCCTGGCGTCCTGCCGTCCTTGGCGTGGAGAGAGACATGGCAGTACGGGTACGGCACTACTCACATCGCTAGTTTCAATTTGGGCCAGATCTCTTCCCCTGCATCACTACTACGTCGTCCAGTGTAGTTTGGGCCGTTTGTATTTGGCCCATTACCCCCAAGCCACAACCTGAAAAGAGGCAGCAATTCTCAGCGGGAATGTCTGTGTGTGCGTGTGGAGTGCGAGCTCCATTAGCACAAGATGCCAATCCCGTCGCCTCATCACGCCATGGCGGCGAGCCCAGCTCTCGCACCAACCCGCACGGTGCCGGTACTGCCGCCGCGCGGGCCGTCTCGCCACCGGAACGCCGCGGCACCGCCGTGTCGGCCTGCGACGGCGCGGATCGGCGCGTCTCCAGGCGACGGCGCGGCCGCGGCAGCAGCGGCTGCGGTGGAGCAGGGCAGTCGGAGCGAGGAGAAGGATAGGAAGCGATGCCTGCGGTGCGGGAGCCTGTATCTCGACGAGGACAACTCCCCCACCGACTGCGCCTTCCACGGCCACGTCACAGGTAGCCAACCTCGCGATAAATATCTTCTTCTTTCTCCGGTTCGTGGCTATCTTGGGCTAGTGTAGTGTGAAGTGTGTCGACATTTTGGATAGACGCCCACAACATTTTAACACTTATAAGCATCTTCAAATGATTAGATCGACGTATTTTGAAATTAACGAAATGACCTTATATAAATATACATTATATAGCACTGAAATAATAATTAGCTGTAAATATAAGTATCTATTATATTATTAAAACAGTTTTGAAAGGAGGCACCACGTTTGCCGTGGGGGTTAGAAATTTCCACATTAATCGGAGAAAAAAGAAGAAAACGAAAAGTAGAGTCCAAGTAGAAATACAATTTAAAAATATCTGAAATTCGGAATTAAAAATAAGCAATATTGAAAGAAGTTTCCAAATAAGAACCCAATATGAGATTAATAAAAAATCAAAATAAAAATAAAATAAAATCTAAAATTAGAAAAGAAAAGAAGAGTCCAAGTAGAAATACAATTTAGAAATAGCTGAAATTCGGAATTAAAAATAAGCAATATTGAAAGAAGTTTCCATATAAGAACCCAATACGAGATTAGTCAAAATTCAAAATAAAAACAAAAATTAGAAAAGAAAAGGATAATCCAAGTAGGAATGCAATTTAAAAATAGCTAAAATACGGAATTAAAAATAAGGAATATTAAAAGAAGAGTTCATATAAGAACTCAAAACGAGATTAATTAAAATTCGGAATTAAAATAAAAATAAAATCTGAAATTAGAAAAAAAAAGAGTTCAAGTAGAAATACAATTTAAAATTAGCTGAAATTCGGAATTAAAAATAAGCAATATTGAAAGAAGGATGATATAAGAACCCAATACGACATTAATTAAAATTCAGAATAAAAAATAAAATAATATCCAAAATTAGAAAAACTAACAGAGAGTTCGGAATACAATTTTGAAACAACTAAAATTGAAAATAAAAAATAAGAATATTAAAATAACACAATATGGTATTAATTAAAATTTGGAAAAAATAAATTCTCAAATTAGAAAAAGAAAAATAAGATTTCAATTATGAATACAGTTTATAAATAACTAAAATTTGGGATAAAATAAAGACTATTGAAAGAAAAAACCATCTAAAACACATGACAAGATAAATTAAGTAACAGACCTATAAAAGAGTAGAGTGGTGACGATTGATACGACATATAAAAACTGTTAATAAAACACCAAATATAATCCTAATGATGATTAAAAGGAGGGACGACATGTAGGCCGTGAAGCAAACGAGCAAGGCGATTGCCGGGACTTCTAGAAAGTAAAAAAAATAAACCCCATTGATAATAATATTCGATTTTTAAAATCTCAATGACAATAAAAAGGAGAAGCAGCGGGCGGGGTGTATAGGAGTATAGTTGTAGAGCCACCGACGGTTGACAAGACTTCTAGAAAATAAAAAATGAATTCCAACGATAGTTATGTTCGAATTTTAGAATCACAATGACAATAAATAGTAGGCGGCGGACGGGCCGTAGAGGAGCATAGTGACATCGTTTGATGGGACTTCTAAAAATTATAAAAAATGAAACCCAACCAGATAATAAACTCTAAAAACTATAAGGTCCAATTTTTAAAGGTTCGGAACTTCTTAAAAAGTAAAAAAAAACCAATGATAATCATGTTTGATTTTAAAATCTCAATGACAAAAAAAAAGGGAGGCAGCGGCCGAGTGGTAGAGGAGTAAAATAGCAAAGCCGCTGATGGTTTGGCGGGACTTCTAGAAAGTAAAAATGAACCCAAACGATAATTATGTTCGATTTTTAAAATCTCAATGGCAATAAAGAGAAGACAGTGGACGGGCCGTAGAGGAGTATAATGGCAACGTTTGACGGGACATCTAGAAATTATAAAAACGAAACCCAAAATGACAATAAACTCTAAAAAAATATAAGATCCAATTTTTAAAGGTTCCAAGGAGAATGAATAGAAATTGTGGTAGATCGGACAAGCAAATAAAGAAGGAGATGACATAAGAAGTAGCAACTAGTGTGACTTTTAAAAATTATATAATTAGAAACACGGAGATGATAAAGTTTGATCTTTCAAAATCTTAAGACAATGAGATAGCTATTTAATAAATTTTAAGTAAAATCATACTTAAAAAAATATATGATTTTGTTTGGGTGCTAGCCGCGCAATTGCACGGACCACCCAGCTAGTTACTGTTAAATAAGACTTGAATCTATCTTTTGACGGGTTTGCAGGGGAGAAGGGGTTGTTCTCGCTGTCGCCGCCGCACCAGGGGATCGACGGCGAATGGAGCGACAAGAGCGGGGTGATCGTGTACAGGTGGAACGACAGGGGGAGTCGCCCAAACACCGGGAGAGACAACTGGAAGGGGAGGTGGAGCTGCTGCCAGGAGCGCGACGAGGGCGCGCCGCCCTGCCGCCGCGGACGCCACGTCTCCTACGACGACGGTTTCACCCTCTACTAGACGCACTCTCTCTTAAGTACAGCGACGGTTTCACCCTCTACTAGACGCACTCTCTACAGCGAGAATGTGAGAGGAAGTCCCCAAAAAGCATTCGCAATGTTGATTCTGTACGTCAGTGTCAGATCAGTAGTGCGGAGTGTGGTAATCAAATGAATTGCAGCTCTAAATCACACATGCATCCATGATGCTAACAATGGAATCCTCTATGTCCAGATAAGCCAATGTCTCGAAACTAACCGCTGCTTCCAGTAACAGTGGAAGGGCAGGGGAAAAACACTCCTCCAGTTTGCAATCCATCATACGCAGGGGAAAACATACCAGCTCACACTTTTAAGTAGCATTATGCTGTTTATCTAACCACGAATGCTTCCAGTAAACTGTCTTTAGGGGATGATAAATAGACTTCATAATCGCAAACAGAAACAATATGTAGGATAAGATACCATGCTCCATTACATCCTAAATAACCCACCATTACAAAATTCAGTCTCTCAGAAAATTGCAACTCAGAGGATGATCAGACACGGGAGACAAGAAACAGCACTTCATGATACTAGGTGAAGATAGGAGTTTACGCATCCTCTGTGATGGTACCCTTGTCGCTCACGTAGATACCATCCAAGAACTTCCTGATATCCTTGTTCTTCACGTGGCATTTCTGTTTACAAGCAAAGGGAATTTTGATCAACAACACAACAAGGGCACAAACAAATCAACAAGAGCAAAACACACGATAATTGATAAAATATCTTGTTTCACTGAAAGCATGGAAAAAAGAGTGCTCGACGAACCGAAAAATAGAAGATAAATCACATTGGCAAAAAGGTTTGATGTATAATCATGGTGTTGTGCAGACGCCAAATTCAAATAGGGATCAGACAGTGGATAACAAACTGTACCCTGAGCACCGACACCACTCATGGTTTCCAAACCAAGAACTTAGCAATGCCAATTAGCCCAACTACAAAAGGGATCTTGGTTGTTCAAGAAATGGATTTGTTCGTCACAAATGTGTTAACGTAACTTCAGTACTGACATAACAGACAGATGGTGAAATGGTTATTAAAACCTAAGTAGAGCACTGTAAATAATGACATTCACAACTGCCAATGATCAAACTAAGGACATAGAACATCATGCCGCCTTAGCAGTTTCAACATATAACCTTAAGCAGCAAACAACAGAAACAAGCAGGCAGGCATGACTTGTTAAACAATTACAAACCTAGATATATCATTGGAGCAAAGAGAACTAATTCCTACAACCATGGCAACATGAGTACATAACACATGCAAAGATCAGGACTAATTAGGTTATATTGCATCATATCAGTATTAGAAGACCAGGAAATCTCCAATCTATAGGGAGAAGAAACGGGATCGTATCATTCACCTGGTTGATGAGGGCTGCTGAGCGAGAGACGAGCTCGATGTCGTTGCCGTCGAGGACGAGCTCGTCCTTCACCTTCTCCGACCGCAAGATGGTCACCCCCTCGAGCATGTCAACCTTCCTCACCTGAAACACAAAGCATACAGAAAGACGCATCAGATTTGAGAGATCTGTGGGGGAGATCTAGGATGATCCACGAACAGCGGGCAAATGGAAGTGATCCAAAGGTGGGTTTCTTACCTTCTTCTCGCCCAAGAAGTTCCTGATCTCGATGGCGGTGTTGGAGTTGGTGATGGAGGCGTTGATGGGGAAGTGAGCGTAGACGAAGCGCATCTTGTAGCGGTAGCCCTTGGTGACGCCGGTGATGAGGTTCTGGACGTGGGAGATGGCGGTGCGGATGGCGGCCATGGTGCGGCGGGTGCCGAACCACGCGTCCACCTGCAGCTTGCGGCCGCCCTCCAGCAGCTGGAAGTCGAGGTTGAGGTGCTTGAAGTTGCGGGTCAGCTTCCCGCGGGGGCCCTCCACCGTCACCACCTTCGCGGCGACCTGCACCGTCACCCCCTCCGGGATCTCCATCGTCTCGGACGCCAGGATGGTCTTCATCTTCGCCGGCTTCCTCTTGCCCCTTCCTCGGCGGCGGCGGCGGGGTAGAGGGGAGGGTTTGGGTGCTTGCTCGAGAGAAGGGCGGCGGCGCGGGGAGGAGTGGGCTTTTAATATAGTCGACGATGGCGCAGGTTAGGGTTTTGATCTTCGCCGTTGGATCGAGACATTAGGTCGCGAGGTGATGACTCACTGGGCTGCTGGCCTTAGGCCGGCCCCAATTCATGAATTCTTAGGCCCACTAAGAAGTATGTCAAAATTTGGCCCATCTGTAGATGCGCTGGGCTGCAGGTCTGGTAGCTTTGCAGTCCAAGCAAATTGAGCCCAAAATAATGGGTTTAATTCCCCGTGGAACTCGAATATTCCTCTCTTCCTCCGGAGTCCGGAGTCCACACACACTCATATTCCCATTATTTCGCTGCAGTTGCTGTCGAAATCGCTCTCGCTAGCCTCGCTCGATCTCGGCGCGACGCGACGCGCGCGCGCACAGGCAAGCGGCGGCCGGCCGGCCGGCATGGTGGTCTCGTACACGCAGGAGCACGTGTACCGCCACCCGTGGCACCGGGTGACCGCGGCGGCGTGGCGCAAGTTCACGGACGCGGACGCGCGGGCGGCGCCGCTGTCGCACATCCTCGAGGTGCACACGCTGTCCCGCCGCGTCGACGCTGGATCGGGGCGCATCGACGCCGTGCGCGCCATCGCGGGGCGGGCGCCGCCGCTCCCGCTCCTCCTCCGCGGCCTCGTCGCCGCCGCCGACGTGGTGCTCTGCGTCGAGCACACCACCGTGGACGGGCCCGCACGGGCCATGCGGGTGATCTCCCGCAACGCCAACCTCCGGGCGCTGGTGCACGTCGAGGAGACCTGCAGCTACCGCCCGCACCCGGAGCGGCCCGACGAGTGGACGCTGTTCCGGCAGGAGACGAGCATTCGGTGCGCGCCGCTCGCTGCCGTGGCGGCCTGGGCGGCCGAGATGGTGGAGCGGCGGTGCGCGGAGAGGTTCAGGCAGAACGCGTCCCAGGGGAGGGAGGTCGTCGAGACGATCTGTGAACGCCTCGCGCTTGCAGATCACTGACTGCTCGGTCTAGACGAAGAACATTCTCAAACTTCAATTCTGCTTCGGCATCGAAAGGGAAAGGATTTGTCTAGAGATTGCCAGTTGCAGATTTGCAGCATTTTCGAATGAAAAAATGTCGTTTCTTGATGTTGCGAACACTGTAAATTGTAACGAAGTTTTACATCTGCGGGATTCCACGCGTGGGAGCGCCGCTCTGTCCCGAGATGTTTCTCTAAATTTTCTGCGTTTGGAACGGCATCGAATGCGCCGACCTGTCAACCTGTGAAGTGAGACACGATCGCCTGAGAGCTCCGGACGTTGACACGATCACCTGAGTCCTGAGGCTGAGGTGAGAAGAGCGCGGCCTGTGCCAGAAAACTCCAGGCGTGGACACGATCACACGACGAATATGCGGACGGAAATCGAACAACAGAGCAGACGTCGTCGTCTGAACAGGTATTGCTGAAATCTTTCCAGGGGCTCTGCCTGTTTCGTTATGCCGTGGGGTCGCGGTGGGCCAAATAAAGATCCATATTTGTGCACGAGAAAAGCTGCCATAATAGCCCACGAAATTCGGCTTGCCCTAAGCCTGTAAGCCTAATTCAGCCCATAAATATCGACAGATTGAACAGCCCATCATGATACCACCCATTTCACGTTCGGAAAAGTACACCGAAGGTCCCTCAACTTGCTACCGAGATAAAAAACGTCCTCGAACCGCAAAACCAGATATCAAGGTTCCTTAACTTACCAAAACCGGTTACAATAACTCATTCGGTGGTTTTGAGCCCGTTTTTATCCTACGTGGCAGCTGAGTCAGCATGTACCCCACGTGTCAGACTGCCACGTCACATCTCTTCCTTGGTGTACTTTTTCCTTCACGGGGAGGAGTCAAGGGGGGTTCCACTTCCTTTTTCTGTTCTTTCTTGTTTTATTTTGTCTCTTTCTCTCTGTTTCTTCACTTCGCCGTTCTCTCTCTCTGCCTTTTTTTTTCCTCCTCACGCGTCACACGCGCGCAGCAGAGGAAGGGCGCCAGCGACGCAGGTGATGGGCGGCGGCGGTGGGGAAGAGGGGCCGGCAGCGTGGAAGGGGGAGAGCTTGGCGGCAAGGAGAGGGAGCCTGGTGGCGGCGCGGTTGCACGCAGGAGGAGAGAGGCTGCGAGGCGCGGCGGCTTGGCAGCGCGGCCGGGAGACGGCGCAGAGGGGAGGAATCGAGGTGGCGCCAGGCGGAGGAGGGAGGGAAGGGAGTGGCGCCGGGAGGAGAAGGACGGGGCGCCAATTGGAGGGGGCGCCAGCGGCGGCATCGGCTCCGATTGGGTGATGGCCGGCTATTAACGACCCAGGCCTCGTGTTTTTCATCAACACCGGCGCATCGCCGCGGCGCGGCGGTCGGCGCCTGAGGGAAAAGGGGTGGCTACTCGGCGGTGCCCGTCTAGGTGCGACGACATTTTGGGGTGGATGAAGACAAGTAGACGACGACGATGGCGGCTTTAGTGGCGAAGGCGGAGGTGGTTGCGGGCGCGCGCGGGGGCGGGGAAGCAGCTGCACGGGGGACGGCCGGCGAGCGCAAGCGGCGGGGGAGGAGCAGCGTGTAGGCGGCGTGCAGCGGAGCGGCGCGCGGGCGGGCGGCGGCGGCAGGGGAAGCAGCAGCCCGGGCGGTGCCGCTCCACTGCCTTCTCCATCCTTCTCCGCCGGCAGGGAGAACAGCTCGCCGCCGCCGGCGAGTTCGAGGACGAAGTCGACCGCTACTGGCCGCCCTCCCCAGACAAGAGGGAGAGAGGAGGAGGAAGGGAGCAGCGATCCTGCTCCTCGTCACCGTCAGGCTCCCTGCTGGCGTCATGCAGTGAGTCATGAAGCGGCGGCGCAAGAGTCGAGGCCGCCGCAGGGGGCGGTGTGGCTACATGAGGGGGCAAGAGGAGGGCCGCCCCGGAAGAGTCGCTGTCGGGGAGCGCCAAGGCGATTATCGCGGCCGCATCAATGTTCGATATGATGGACGACGAGGTGGCGTCGACGACAGCGTGGGGGCGCGGCAAAACTGACGCGGCTGAGGCGGCGTCGGAGCTGGAGCTCAAGATCATGTGCTCCTGGTTCTACAGTAGCGGCTTCTAGCGGAGCCCCTCCTCCGGCTCCAGCTCCCACGCCTCCTCCCTATGTCGGAAGATGACGACAACGAGGCTGGCGTCCTCCGCTTGGCTCCGCCACCCCGTCGGCTTCGGGTGCCGTCACTCCGCCCGCGCGTCTGCTCACCGCCGCCCCACTCCGTCCCGCCAGGCGCCAGCTTCGCGTGGCGCTGGTGACTCAGCGACGAAGACCAAGGTTAAAGCACCACGGTGGACAAAACCAGTGCCACGTAGGATAAAACCGTGTGAAATACTGCCCTGGGACTACTTGTGACCGGTTTTGGTAAGTTAAGGGACCTTCGATATCTGGTTTTATGGTTCGAGGACGTTTTTTTATCTCGGTGACAAGTTGAGGGACCTTCGATGTACTTTTTCCTTTCACGTTGGACCAAAAAAGGCAGCCCAGTTTTCAGCGTGTCCCCTACGCGGCCCAATCTGCAAAACGCGCACGCGGGCATCACGACGACTCTCCTGGAAGCCGGAAGGTGCGGTCAAACCGGCGTCGTCCGGAAGCGGACATCGGCCCCGGGAGCGAGTAAACGAAGGTTGACGGCTCGACGCGTGTGCGACCCTGAACTGTCCCGTGCTGGGCTGGCGCTCGTGCTCAGTGGCCGGGAGACACGCGGTGGCGAGCGTCACACACGTGTGAAGCGCAGCGTCGCCGCCGGGTTCGATCACAGCCGCCGCCGTTCGACGGAGGATATCACACCAGCTGCCGGCCATCCACCCACAATCGCCACGTCTAAACTCCACAAACAATTATGTAGTAAACTCCTGAAGTGCAAAGCCACTAGTAGCATCATCCTGAACTGGAACTTTATGAGCGAAAAAGGAGCACTTGGCAAAGGTGATTCTAGGGTCAAGGGATAGCAATCCAAAGCCAATCGAAATATCAAGTCGGTCCGCAAACTGGAACGGACACACCGACGCTGACGCTCTCTGTTGCCCGCAAGACGGACGGTGACGTGTTGCGGCAGTAATATACAGTCCTGTTGATATCTTCGGTTGGATGTGGTTTTCCTGGTTGTCGTGCTTCCGGTAAAGGATTGGTACAGCCAGCCAAGGCGGCTTTCAAAAGTTATACCTGCAGCTAGTTTTCTGGTACTAGCTCATTGTCCTGTCAGTCACTTGAGCGGTACTCGACCTCATCCTTTTGAGCAATGGTCCAGCCTTTCGATGCCTTTATATCATGGATATTATTCCACGCCGACTTCAATTTTCCAGGGAACAGCTAATTCAATGGAAACCATGAAGGATTAAGCATTAAGCATCTTAGGTTATTTTTGAGGGACCGAATTAAGCTCAATTAACATCGAATTATGATGTAGGTATATATAACATGTGTTCGTCAACAGCCCGGTTCGTTCGTAGCTCATGATTAGCCGAACAATTACGTGTATATATATCGGCAGGACAAATCATTGGTCGAGTTGGTTGCCGGTCGATCGATTGGGCGGCCGGCCGGCCGGCTGCCGGTCGACCCGTTGTCGGCAGCGTGCGCAATTAAGCTTCCCCTGAATGATCAATTGATCATATGATCACGACCATGCATCTTCCAACCTCTGCAAGTTAGCTCCAATGCTCTATCCAAAGTACCCGACGGATCATCCATCCATCCATTCCTGCTTTTGCTGCTACCTATCCAAGGGCAGAGAGATATTTCGCGCATTCCGGCATATTTTCCTCGCTCTCCTTTACCCCAATTCGATTCGATCGGGTGAGGTGATCGATCAATCGATCGGTTGCCGAATTGTCAATGTACTCATGTGGGGAAAGTTTCGGTTCGCTCCGTCTCTCGCGTGGCGTCGCGCGTGCTGTTCCGGCGTCTTTTCCGTCCTCTCTGGGGCAAAGGGAATCCGCTTATCCGGGGATTCTCTTCGTGCGCTCCGGTTCGCGTGTCTCCTCGTGGTTGGCCGCCTTGTACTTTGTTAATTCAGGACGAGTTAAGCTCAGCGAGGCCGTGAAGTTTCCCTGTAAAATCGGGCAACAAACTACGCCGTGATTTCACATGAAAACGCCATCAGCGCGTGGCTGCGCGGCGCGTATGTACGGGGCAATGTATTGCGTACGTAGCTGGACCAAAACCGGTCCACGAATCGTCCTTCTCCATGTCGACATGCGTACAGCCGATGCATATATCATATACAGAGAGAGAGGCCGTGATTTAGTATTCTCAATTCTCGGATTGCAATTTGGCTTTTGAGTGTGTACGTACGTATGTGTGACAGTGACATGGGCACGGTCTACGTAGGGAGGGAGGGGGAGAAAAGAAGAAGGGGGGGGGGGGGGGGGAAGGCCGGCCGGAAGGAAAGGAATGGCCATGCTAATCCAGACAGCTCAGCGGGCGGAAAGCGACGCGAGGAGAGCTCCACGGCAGCAACAGCAGAAAGGGGGGATCTTTTCCTTAATTTTTCTCATCGCGGCGTCAGGCAGATCGGCAGAACGAGAACGTGCGGTGAACGGGGGCACGCCGCGCCACGCCACGCGACGGGTCGAGAGGCCGAGGACGACGACGGGTTCCAACTTCCAATTCCCAGCTAGAACGAGAGCTTGCTTAGCCGACCCGAGACGGCGATGCGGCTTGCCGATGGTTTGGTTTACCGCTTTGCCCCGGTTCTTCGCTTTCCCGTTTTCCACCCCCTCCCCTCCTCTTTCGGTCGAGCATATCTCCTCCCCGCGGGGTGGGCTACTTGGCTACTTGCCCGGGTCCCGTGTCCTAAAAACACAACATATCTTACGGGGAAAAAGACCGTTCCACCCACACGTCTCCACACGCTTAGGGCCTCACCTTTTCGTTTATACTTATACTTAAAATTTAAATTTTTAATATTAAATTTAAAACTGATTTTAAGTCTTTTTATTAAAATTTATCTTTCATCTTTTATTTTTAGATCGTTAAGAATACATATATAAAAATTTTATTTATAAATTATTTTTCGTTTGTAAATATGTCATTTCGTTTATTCATGAAATAAGCGGAACGATAGCTCCACTGTACTACTCATCCAGTACACGGTCACAGGAGCCAGTGAGCCACGGCTACCCATCTGGATCCAGCTCCTCCACTCCCAGCGCCGAACTGTGGCCGGCAGCGAGCCATGAGTGGCGGCATGTCACGTTCCGCCGTGACGATTCTACCGTAGTACTACGCCCGTGGGAGAGGCGAGGCGACCGACCCAACGGCCGTGCACGCCGTTTACCGCTTTTTTGGCTGCGGAATCCACCCGTGAAACCGAGGGCCGCGTTGCCGCCGCGCCAACCCCCCCCCCCCCCCCCCTTTCCCGCGCGACGCCAACGAGGCCAATACCGGAAATAACACGCGCCCGCGCGGCAGGCGGGGCAGGTCGCTGCCCCCACCCCCACACACGCTGCGCCTCCGCGTCCATAAAAAGCCCCCCCGCCTCGCCGCCATTCCCGATCAAATCCTCTCCTCGATCTCTCCTGCAATCCTCATCACACAGCAAACCCAAACCGCGAGCGGAATCCTCAGCCTGCTGAGAGAGCCTGAGACCAAGAGGGGGATTCTTTTTTGGTTATTGACGATGGCGCAGCGCGACAAGAAGGATCAGGAGCCGACGGAGCTCAGGGCGCCGGAGATCACGCTGTGCGCCAACAGCTGCGGATTCCCGGGCAACCCGGCCACGCAGAACCTCTGCCAGAACTGCTTCTTGGCGGCCACGGCGTCCACCTCGTCGCCGTCTTCTTTGTCGTCACCGGTGCTCGACAAGCAGCCGCCGAGGCCGGCGGCGCCGCTGGTTGAGCCTCAGGCTCCTCTCCCACCGCCTGTGGAGGAGATGGCCTCCGCGCTCGCGACGGCGCCGGCGCCGGTCGCCAAGACGTCGGCGGTGAACCGGTGCTCCAGGTGCCGGAAGCGTGTCGGCCTCACCGGGTTCCGGTGCCGGTGCGGCCACCTGTTCTGCGGCGAGCACCGGTACTCCGACCGCCACGGCTGCAGCTACGACTACAAGTCGGCGGCGAGGGACGCCATCGCCAGGGACAACCCGGTGGTGCGCGCGGCCAAGATCGTTAGGTTCTGAGAGGCAAACAAAATTAAAAAAAAAATCTACTGTTTTAGCAAGAAATGGAGAAAAAAATTGGGAATTGAAGGTGTGGATGTTATTATTATGCTGTTCTCTTCTCGCAATTGTTTTTCCCTTTTTATTCTTTTTAATTGCAAACGGGAGGATAAGTGGTGGAAAAGGAATAGTGTAACAATAATGGTGATGTGAGGTGGTTGAGGGAAAAAGAATCGAAGAACAAATGGATTGGGTGTGTATTTGTCTCGCACTTTCTGCTCCATTTTTACAAAATTATTCGGCATATGGTTATTGCTCAATCATTGAAATGAAAGGAATGGAATTGAGTAGCTTGATTAGCAATCACTTGGTAGCTGGTTGCTGCCCTATAAACAATCCATCCAATTCCAGTTCCGACACATTCCGTGTTCATCTCAAACTGGAACCTTTCTCCACACTTTGTAAACTGCAAATTATTCATCCAACCAAGCAACTAATCATCAATTCGTGCGCGTCTCTCATGAACCGCTAAAAAGGGAGAAAAAAAAAGATCAGCCAACATAGTACTACTACCCAAGTAGAATAAACTTTTCATTTTTCTCAACAAAAAGATAAGTCATTTTGTGCGGAGAAATTATGTGCGAGTAGTAAAAGATACGGCGCGATTTGTGCATGAACACGGGTTATACTGTCGTGGAGGCCACACGGCCTGACTCTTCACATGGCCACGTCCACATCCTCTGCTCGTGATGGCCAGTCGTCTTCTTTCTCGCAAGTGTTGTGGTCTCACTCTGACCTGTTCTTCACTCGTCTTTGATTACTTCTGATTATATTTTTTTATTTGGTCTAACACGAACTGTTAGCAATAGAGTATACGTGATGGTAGGCGAATTGTGTTCTTGTAGATGATGATGATTAGGATTCCTTAGGCTGCTCGATGTGATGCGCAATCAATAGTCAAGAGTTCTCGTGATATAGTTCTCTCTTCTCGTTAATTTGGCTTTGCCAGTTGGGCTTTTCTATTGTTTGTGCCGAAACTGATCCCTTGAGGTTTACATTACTTAATTCTTTTTTGTTGTTGAAATGGAGTTTAGCGTGCTTCATGTGGCAGTACGGAGAACGGGCAAAATGGATGAGCACATGGTATTCTCATCGAGGTCTTTGGTGAGGAAAGTTCAATGTTATCTTTTCTTACTCCCTCCCAATCAGGCAATCATGTTCATTGTTCCTTGCAAAAAAAAATGTTAATTGTTCCACCGTTAGATCAGTATTTCCTTGAGATTATCCACATAGTTCAAAATGAACATTTTAATTTTAAATATCATCTAGATGCCAAATTCAATTTCAGTTTTTTTTGAGCAAGTGTTTTTAGCTGTTGTTGGTAGTAACTGAAGGGAAAAAAGAAACATAGCAGCAACTTTTAGTGTGTGTTTCTTTTTCTGAATCATTTTCTGTATACCCAGATCACCTTTACCAACAATCACCATCAACAAACAGGGAGCAGATGGACTACAAAAGTACTGTCAGAACACCATAATCTCTTATCTCCAATTCTCCATGTTTGACCTGTATAGCGTCACGACATGAACGATAGAGTACACATGCTTTGCACCTTGCGCTTCCAAAGAGAAAAAAGTAGTAGAACTGGACACGGAGTGACACGTCCTCCTGATTATAGAATCCAAACCCAACAACCGTTGTAAACTTGTAACCCATCAAGGCATCAACCCAGCCAGCCAGTAGCTTTCCACGGTGGGCTGGCTGGCTGGCCTCGTAAACCCACACGCACGCGGGCCAAATTCCCCGTGAAATCCCGTGAATTCCACGAACTCCACCGAGCGCTGGCCCGTCCCGCGCGGCCTCGGCCGTTTCGCCCATTTTTTTGCCGTTTCGCACGGCCCATCGGTGGCGGTCGGCTGATCACATCCCCCGCGGATTCGTCGCGCCTCACGGCTTCCCCGGCTCGGCTACCGCGAATTCACGCGGCGCCGGTGGTGTCGTCGCTCGTCTCTCTGCACGGATCGTTGTTCGTTTCTGCTTCGTCGCCGAACAGTGCTCACACAACTTGTGGACATTAACCGCGGTTGTCGGTTGTTGCAGAGCAGTTCATCGCGGTAGTTCTGATCTTGATCTTTGATCTGATCTGATCTGAAGCCTCGCCCTCGCCAAGAGTTGAACAGCTAAGCGTCGGCCTTGACCCCCTTTTTGTGTGAGAGTGAGACGCTTTTGCATAAAGCAATCTGCGCCACAATCCAACGTGACGTGACTTCACTTCTCTGATGTGATCGCACACAGGGGTGATCTTTAGTAACTTCCCATATGAACAAAAGTGGTATTGTTCAGTTTAGTGGCTCTTATGGCTGAAACGATGCCTGAATCTGCGTTCGTTGGCGGCAAAGGTCAAGGAGCTACTAATTGAGCTTCACTAATCATCGGTTCATCACGCACCCAGGAGCTGCAAAAAAGGGCCTCCTATCCTATGTCCCTATGTGTTCTTGTGTTGATGCATCTGTTCTTGTGTTGATGAAATTACTTAGTGCTGATTACCTCACTTTGATCTAGAATACTCCCGTGTAATGGCCGACCAAGTTAGACACCTATTGTTAAATGGGTGACAAGCTCCGATTTGAATACTCTTAACCCCCTGCATCAGTGTGGGCTAACATGTTAGCAACTATTCAGCTTTACGACTTGTTAAAGACTAGGGGGAGTGAGTAGCCAGTAGGTGACGACGAAGTTAACCAGATAAACAGGAAGATGCCAAACGCCAAGCTCAGCTCCAATAATGGAGCAGAGCATGATTCGCGCACACAGTCACACAAGAATGCACGGGTGGAATTTCCAAAAGGATCGTTAACCTGACGGATTGGCAGGTGGCAACAACACTGAACACTGAGCATATCCCTATACGTATATATGTGTATCTGTCGGTCTCTGCATCTGCAGAGACACCAAAATCCACAATTCTTCTCCATGTTCAGATACTACGTCTGAATTCACGTCTCCATTTTGGTTCTCTTCTGTCAGAGACATTCCCAGCTGGGTATCCCTTGGCAGGAAGGAATGGCCTTTGCGTGCACAGTGGCATGAAGCAACAACGGCACAAGACGCCATATGCTTTGATTAGCCAGGGAGCCACGTTACGTTTGTTATAGCTAATCTTGCTTTCAGGTAATCATTGTTTAAGGAGAAAACAAAGAAGTTTTCGGTCTCGTCCCAGAGCTTTGGTAATGAGTGGTAGACAACCACCAAACGAAACGAGCGATCGAGGCCTTGACCGGACCGGCGCCTGATCAAGAAAAGTGATCATCCAGAACTGGTCCCTCTCCACGGCTCAAGTTCAGAGCATCATCCAAACCATCACACTGATTCACTGTTGATAATTTCATCATACATGTGCCGCACAGATGGTGTTGGATAGGATGGTTTGCCTATGCCACGTGATGTTTCTCACATCCCGACTCAGGGGATGATCTACAACAGAAACTGCCGGGTGTCCTCCGTCCACACACTCATGGTTCCTTTGAAACGTAGAAATTTTGGAGGAATTTCATAGGAGATAGTTTAATTCCTGTGAAATTGCTTCATCCGTCCCTGTCTCGATCGACGGCGGATGAAGATTTTCTAGAGTTAGGCAACACTAGGAACTAGGAGTGACTATTCCATTTTATAGCAGGTAATCAGGTAGTGTTTCAGGAACTCTGTTCTCCATTTACCCATTATCTCGTTTTGAACTTAGCACTGTTGGAGTTTATGGTTGTTGGTTGAAGTGTCGATATACAAATTGTTGACCATGGGACAGGTTTCTTGGTTATTCTAATGTGCTTATGTAAGGCAACCCTCAAATTCAGGCTCTGGGCTCCACGAAGAATTATATATCTTCAGAAACGACAGAATTGGAGCAATTAGTATTGCTGCCACTTAGCAATCAAACCTCCTCTCAAAAGAGAACAAAAGTAGCTAACACACTCAACTTAAACATGACTCCATGAAGATTTTCTTCATAGAAGTACACCGTCTTTGTAGTACGAACCACCCACCCTTTAACATATATAAACTTATGTTCCCTGATGGTTATGTTGGTTTTTGTCAGCAAACTTAGTTGAATATATATACTTTTTGTTTGCAACTTGACGCTGGATTTTAGGCCATTTTGGATGGCTCCTGTGCCATACTGAAATAAATACGGCTCTGAGTATCTTCTTTATCACACACATGTTTACGGACGAACAGTGTTCCTGGTAGACTGGTGGACCAGGTGGTACCCTGGCACTACTGCAGCTAAAATTAATTAGTAATTCAATTTATATAGGACCCATTTCTGCCATACAAGCTCACCAGTTGATGACTGTCATACTGATGGTATACTGCTCCTCGTATTGCACATTTGAAAGAACTAACTGAAGAAATCTATAAATATCTGTATGAAAGTAAAAAAAAAAAAACTACAGTCCAAGTACTCAAGCTCAATTCTCTGTTGGACATGTTTGAAGCAAGCCAATATGATCCCTGATTATTCTAAATTATAACCGAATTTAAGCACTGTAATTTGGTGGCACGTAAGCAGTAAGCACAATGTCAACTTCAATTCTGAATTTAAGCACTGTAATTTGGTGGCACGTAAGCAGTAAGCACAATGTCAACTTCAATTCTGATTTTTCTGTCACATGCATGCAGCTCACCATGGGAGCGAACTTCACCAAAAAAAGATAGTAGCACTTTCAAAAGGTAAAGCTAACCATATGAACTAAACAAGGCCTGGTTTAGTTCACCAAAAAATTTTCCTAAAACATCACATTCGATCTTTGAACATGTACATGGAGCATTAAATATAGACTAAAAAAACTAATTACACAGTTATGGGAGAAATCACGAGACGAATCTTTTAATCCTAATTAGTACATATGATTAGCCATAAGTGCTACAGTAACCTATATGTTCTAATGACAGATTAATTAGGCTCAAAAGATTCGTCTCGCGGTTTTCAGGCGAGTTATGAAATTAGTTTTTTTATTCGTATCCGAAATTCCGGTTAAACATCCGATATGACGCTTAAAAATTTTCTTTTCGCGAACTAAACAAGCACCAACAGACAAGGCTGATTCACGAAAAGATATGTTTTGACCTTCACTTTCTTGATTTCAGCATTAAACAAAATATTATCATGTTAGGAGGGAAGCATCAATCGCACTCTATTTTGTCTCATTAATCAAACCGAATTCGTACTATCAAATTTTGACTCGAAGTCAATATTGGCGACGTGCAGAAGTCGCTGAAGGACGGGTTCTGCTCTGGCCAGTTAATTTAGCTCGTAAATTTGCATTCAAAATTCGTTAGGTACATCGTACAAATATGCAAAATTAACACAAGCTACGACTCATGAGCAGCATCCCAAGCACAATATAATGGTACGGTTCGTCCTATCGGTATCATAATCTTTTGTCATGTACAATCGCAACACAAAGTCTCTCGATAATCCCGTACGATGTCCGATTTGGAATATGCCCGTTCCGTTGCATCATATGATTGATGACCAGCAGTTTAAATTTTGTTTTGAATACTACTATGTGAAGTGCCTGTTTGTAGAGTCACTGTAAAAAAAAAAAAAATCTTCGGTTGCTGATACTGTGCACACGTGTAAAGCTCACCTTTCTCACCTTGAGCTCCACGCCAAATGATCTCTCTTGTAACGCCTCCTTTAATGGATATGCTTGTTCACCTTATACAAGAGAAAAAAATTAACTCTCCAATAAATTATTTTATAGCATATTATTTAAAATGCTTTGGGTTTCACAATTCCTCTCATATTTTCTTTAGAAGCTTAGCTCTTGAAGAAGAGATAGTGCATTCTCTCTCCTTATCTTCTCTCTCTTCCACATCATACAAAAGCTGATATGGAGATTTATTAGCTAGCTGACTCACCTTTATTGGAGGAGGCATAAGCAGCACAAAATTGACATAATTTAGCTTATCATGCACACGTATTAGTGAGTGGACCAACGGCATCCACCACCCACTTACTCCATGCTGAAGTGATAAAGCTAGTTTTCAAATCTTCCACAAATAAACAGCTCTACATGATAGTACTATATTAAACTGCTTTTTATTTAAATCCACCATATGATTTTCATGTAAATCATGACAGATTTATTTTAAGATATCTTCAAACAATGTATTTTCTTGACTAGAGTTAGAGAGAAACAATTACACATTTTTTCCTCGGATACAATATCTTAGAAATGCTAAAACCCAAGCCAGAGGTATGGTTGAAAATGCGACGGTAAATTTTCAGTACTTCAGTTATTGTAGTTATCATCAGTCTTATTGAGCGCGTAGGAATTAAGTATTGAGTCAGTAAACTGGTATAGTTCAAGAGAATTCAAAAGTTCAGTATAGTTTGTTGAAGGGACCATTAAATAACTATATGGCTGTTAAAAGATAAACACTTATCTTAAAAATATAGACAAAAACAGTAAAGTGTACGGTATTAATTTTTCACAACATGCCCTTGCATCATATCCTTAGGATTTATTTGTAGGTTTTTAGCCTTGCTAACTAACCTTAGGATTTGCTTACACAAACTCTTACATGCATAACCCCTTGATAGAAACATTTACGAGGGTTTTTTCCCCTTCTTCAACATATTCAGGTTATTTGGTCTTCATAGGGTAGACTTATATCGTTATAGGGTCACTGGTCTCCCTGGAAGGTCTTTCAGGGTGCCCTTCAGCTCCAGCCAACCTTTATCTCGTTGGTGACTTATTGGTTGACCCTACTCGTGTCACCACATCGATCCCTGCCCTCAGCATGCCAACAAGACCCGCCAATCGACCTTCCCCTTCCCTCCCCGCCTCTCCTCCTACCCAATATGGGAGACGGCAAGGTGCCCCCATTAGCTCCCCTACCACTCTGATCTAATTCCTCTATCGCCGACTTATCCACTACCCTCCTCCGACCTCGCGGCTCTAGCGGCAACACTGTCATTGCCGGGGAGTCGGTCTTCTCCATATCTCCCTGCTCTCTTTTTGGCTGAATCTTGGAGACAATTTTCTAGCCATTAGATCGAAGGAGACGACCGAGGTTAAGATAAGGCCCATCCTAATATAGTAGTTTCATTCTATTTAAATAGGGTGTTATGTTAGTATTTTTTTAATGATGTGGTAAGAAATATAATAAAGTGAGAGATGAGATCGATGAGTTTCATCTAAATAAAACCATGTCCAAATTGTTCCGACGTGCCAAGAGGTCAGAGGATAAAACCATGTCCAAATTGTTTATAATATATAGTTTCTTGCATGTATTACCTATGAAACAACAAAAATAAAACCATGTGTTTTTCAATCATCAATTACATGACTCGTTGCTTATATGGCACCTTTGGAAATATAAAAGATGGAAATATAAAAATAGTATATTTCACTGGGAATAACTTTCAAATACTCCTACCTTTGTTCAAATTTTGTCGGACACTATACAGTAATCGCGTTTATCGAAAAAAAGGGGATTGCTATATGGCATTCGAATGAAATTTGAGGATGAAATCTTACAGATTTTGGACCATTGGATCCATGCCAAGATTCGTGCATCGGCTTCTCTCCTCCAACTCCGGCGGGTTAGGGTTTGGGGTTGGGGTGAGGGTAGGAGGGGGGTTGGGGGAGGGGGAAGAGGGGGGTTTCCTTGGGGCTTAGAGGGATGGCCGTGGGTGGCGGAGAACTGGCGGTGGGCGGTGGACTCCGGCGAGCGGCGAGGTGGCGGCGGCATCGCCAAAGCCGCGGGGATGGAGGAGGGCGGTGAGCCGGCGTCGGCGGCGGGTCAAAGCAAGCGTGGGATTAGGAGGTGGCGGCCAGAGGTAACGGATCCGGCGGGGCGGGGGCACCTCGTCATCGTCGCCATGAGGACAAAGTGAGGGGGGAAGGGGAGGGGGAGGGGGCTTGCAGGGCCGTTGACTTTTTCCGGCCAGCCGGCGAGGCGGGCGGCAGCGCGGTGGGGGTGGCGGTGGCGGTGGTGGCGGCGGATCGCGTGTGGGACGGGAGGAGGAGGGTGGCAGCATGATCTGGAACCGGGGAAGGAGGAATAGGAGTTAGGGTTTAAGGGGCTGCGCGAATCTTAAAGCACATCCAATGGTTCAAAATTCAAATGATAGGAGGTGAGATTTTATGTCATATGATATATAGACAGAAAAAAAAGGCCGTGCGGTATTCGATGACTGAGCCGGTTTTGAAACCCTAGGCCAGTATATGCTCCGAAGATCGTCTCTTTGACAGAACCGATGAGAATTGAGAAAACGCCAAAGCTGTGCCGGAGATAACAATAGTATAAATCTTGAAGTGGCGTTGCCACTTTGTTTCATTAATCTCTGCAGGTTAAACAAGACAAAAACAACAAATTAATTAGGCAACCGTCTCGCGGGTTTAGCCCGGCCCCCTACTACCAGCTTATTATATCTCGCCTCCACGTCCTCGTCGCTCACAACGCGACACACTCCCAAGCACACACACAGAGCGCGCGCGCGCGCGCCCATGCAGCAGCAGCAGCAGCCGCGCATGGCGGACATTGACCTCGACGCCGTGCGCGCCGTCCGCGTGCTCGGCCGCGGCGCCATGGGCACCGTGTTCCTCGTCGCCGCGGCGGCGGACGACGCCGCCGGCGGCGGGGCGTGCTACTACGCGCTCAAGGTCTTCGACAAGAGGTCCGTCGTCGCGTCGGCGGCGAGGCAGGGGGACGCGGCGCGGCGGGCGAGGTGGGAGGTGTCGGTGCTGTCCGGGCTCGCGCACCCGCACCTCCCGTCGCTGCTCGGGCGCGCCGAGACGGGCGACCTCGTGGCGTGGGCCGTGCCGTACTGCCATGGCGGGGACCTCAACGAGCTCCGCCACGCGCAGCCCGACCGCGTCTTCTCCCCCGCGGCCATCAGGTTCTACGTCGCCGAGCTCGTCTCCGCGCTCGCCGAGCTCCACGCCGCCGGGATTGCGTACCGCGACCTCAAGCCCGAGAACGTCCTCCTCCGCGCCGACGGCCACGTCACGCTGACCGACTTCGACCTCTCCCGGCTGCTCCCGCCCGTCTCCCCCTCCGCGTCCACCTCCACCTCGTCGTCGTCGTGCTCGGCCACGTCGTCGCCGCCGCCGCAGCTGCAGGGACATGGCCGGAGCCAGCTGAGGCGAATCTTCGCGAGAAGTGAGTCGTCGGTGGCCGCGACGACATCGACGTCGTCGCCCGGGCAGTACACCCACAACCTGGCCTGGTTCCTCAAGAGAAGCGACGGCGGCGGCGGCGCCGCCGACCACCTCAAGAAGGCGAAGTCGGCGAGGGTGTCGCCGGTAAGCCGCGGCAAGAAGCAGGCGAGCTTCTGCTCGGCCGCGAGCGCGAGCGGCGGCGCCGCCGCCGCGTGCGAGAGGTCATTCTCGTTCGTGGGCACGGAGGAGTACGTGGCGCCGGAGGTGGTGCGGGGCGAGGGGCACGAGTTCGCCGTCGACTGGTGGGCGCTCGGCGTGCTCGTCTACGAGATGGCGTACGGGAGGACGCCGTTCCGGGGGCGGAGCCGGAAGGAGACGTTCCGCAACGTGCTCCTCCGGGAGCCGGAGTTCTCCGCCGACTCGCGGCGGCGGTGGCCGGAGCTCACCGACCTCATCGCGAGGCTGCTCGACAAGGAGCCCACGAAGAGGCTCGGCTTCGCCGGCGGCGCCGACGAGGTCCGTGCCCACCCGTTCTTCGCCGGAGTCGCGTGGGACTTGCTCGGCGAGCTCTCCCGGCCGCCGTACATCCCGCCGCCGGCCGACGACATTGCCGCGTGCGAGGGGTTCAGCGTGGTAGAGTATTTCAACAAGCTTCACGAGCCTTCGCCGGAGCCGGAGGAGGAGGAGTTGACGGAGTTCTTGCCGGAGTTCTGACGTCCGGTCTCCGGTGTTCCACTCGAACTACAGTATTTCTCTCTTTTTTTCACTTTCACCTCAAAAAAAATCATTAATTATGTGATCCTGTGGTGAAAGGGGTAAACTAAAATTGAGTAGAAGAGATTGTACTGTAAAATTGTGACATGGTAAGGGTAGGTTTGTGAAATAAGGGTAACTATTTCGGTAGGGGACTGTAAAATCCGAATCCTTTTCTGCTCACTAGAGGCTAGGGTGACTGAAAATACTGTACTTCACAAGGGTTAATCCCTGCAGTCTAATTGACTACGGTACAGTGTTCGATTTGTTGGTCTCAGACGCCCGAGCGGAAGCATTTTCGATCAGATAGTTGTATGTGTTTCGATAAAAAAAATTCAGATAATTGTAGTTATTGATTCTCTCTGCATGATGACACAAGGACGATTCCAAAATTTTCGTGGGATGTAATTCCTATTTTTGAATTACATCTTTCAGTAATAACATTGTGCCAACAAAATACAGAATCTAATTACTGAATAATTGAGTCGACAATAAATGGCACAAAATGGCACAATGTTGCTGCTGATCTATGACATATTGACATCTGACAGAGGAGTTACTATACCAGCAGAGGAAATATGCCATTTTCCCGATCTGTCAGGATTCGATATTCGGAAAAGATGTCCCATGAATTAAGCAGTGTTGATTTATTAGATTAATCATTAAACCCCGTCTCAATGTTTGACCATGTACGTGCACTAATTCATATATAATCCATGGTTCGTACAGCTTGACTGTTCAGTTTATCTGTACTTGCTTTGAGCTGTGGCTGAAGGCTGGCTGTTGATCTGAAGAACTACGTCAATATTTTCCAATGCATGCAAAGTTCTATTTACGACGGGGCTGAGATTAAATTTCAAATCTGTGCAGTACTCTCTGCTTTTCTATAAACCTTCAGACTATGAAAGAGCTGAAACATTCAGGCTTTAGCTAGGTTACACATAGCTATGCACTATACAGTATACACACAGCTTCAGTCATTTGCAGGCTCGTAGTGCTTACTATTCTGAAAAAAAAAAACGAAATACTACTGTGTATGCTACCTCCATTGCTGTCCACATGTATTTTAAAATCTGGACTATGACATTTGAATAAACCAGTGAAAGCCGAGAACAGCCTATAACTAACTATGGCATTTTTCAAGATTTGAAGGAAGAGACGTCCCTCCAACATATTTTAAGAAAAAAAATACGAGTGTGTTACGGATTAAATATGAGATCTTATGGTTAAAATCATACATCTCTTGTTGCTGCCCTATCAAGTGCATCACACCTAGCTTTGCCACTGTACCTACTGCATTTTCACAACTATTATGTAAGCCAATAGTTTGCCATTTACGAAAACCACATAAAGAAACCATTCTTAGCATGATAATATAGCTGTATATAGCTTTATACAAAACCACTACCCGTAATTAAATGGCTATGGGCATGTTCCACAACGCAACCAACAACCTCAACAGTGATTTGTGTGGCTGTAATAACCGATACGCTGTGCTGCGCTACACAGCGGTTGTACCATGCAGGGCCCTGTTTGGTTCCATGGGCTAATGTTTAGCCCTCACCTTTTAGCCTTAAATTAGCCCTCAATAATCCAAACAGGTGGGCTAATTTTGAGCTAATATGAATTAGCCCTCCTCAAAACATTAGCCCCTCCAAGGGGTGCTAATGAGGCTAATTTTGTGTGGGAACCATAAAAAAATAGCTCTCTCTCTCCTTCTCTCTCCTCTCTTTCTACTCTCTCTCTCTCTCCATCTTTTAGCCTTGAATTAGCCCATGGATCCAAACATGCCACCCTATGCTAATGTTTAGCCTACCAATTCATGACTAAACATTAGCTCTTAAAATTAGCCCTGGGCTAATCTTCCAAACAGGGCCTAGCTAAACACGCCATATATATGTGTGTGCATATATATTATCTTCAAGATCAGTCATCAATCCTTTATAATCATTACTCCCTCAAAGGTTTGCTATATTTTGGGATGGAGGGAGTAATAATCAACGTGCATATGCGCAGGCACAACACAACTATTCCATTCGTCCCATTTTAAGCGCAACCATGAGTTTTCGTGCCTAACTTTGATCGTCCGTTTTATTTGATTTTTTTTATAATTAGTATCTTTATTGTTATAAGATGATAAAGTATGAATAGTACTTTATACGTGACTTATGTTTCAAATTTTTTTCAATTTTTTTTAAATAAGACGGACGGTAAAAGTTGGACACGGAAAATCATGGTTACATTTAAAATGAGACATAGAGAGTACTAGCTTACAAACTCGTACTACTACTGCTTGAAGTGTTTAGAGCCTGACATATATGTTCAGACTCATCTTAAAAATTAGAATTATTATTTTTTAACAGTGAGATCAGAGAGCAGATGCTTAAAGGAGACTGACAACAATGGTAAATCCGGTGATGCTTCTCCCACACGCCGTTTGGGTTTCTAGGTACACCATTGGCCGACAATTGGCACAAGGATGGGCCGCATTCATGCATGGCCGGAGAGATCTCATATGCGTTGCTGTTGCTTCCGTTCGTCCAGGCAAGGCAAGGCAACGGTACGTACTAGATGCCGCGATGCACGTCAAGGACAATATATAGATGGAGCTAGCTAGCTCACGACATGCGTATGCATGGAATGCACGCACGTCGCGAGAGGTGTGGCGACCTACTTTGTCCGGCAAGAAAAGACACCGGAGAGCGAGGCCCCTTGCTGCTGTTAATTCGATCGTACGCGCGCGCACGTTCTCCAGCACGGCTAGCTACGTACCCTTGCATATGCAAGATTAACTTGGCCTCAACTAGCAGCTACAGCACTAGCGTAAATTTTCAGTGTAACGACTTACGCTTTGTACGTACGCCGCCTTGACGCATCCCTGGCCAATGAAAATTGAGAAAACTCTCCTCCGGTAACCTCTGTGTTTTTCAAAATAACGTGTGGTATTTTCTAAATATGTCAAAATAAATTAATTTTTATCCTCTATCAGTCCGCAAATCGATGAGTTATTCCTCTAATAACCCTCATCAACCCTTACACATATCCACCTACCAATATTACTTTTCTATTAACGAGGAAAACTTTGATTTTTTTAGCTACTATCTAATTTTGAGCACCCAAAACTATGAGTAAAATTACTCTGGGTGTTTGGTGTGACTAGATGGCAATCAACAGCTACAGTAGCAACATACAATTTCTACCATAACCGCAGCAGCAGCCGCCCTACACAGCAGTTATAGTTGGCCTGCCGAACATACCCTCTGTACTAGTGACTCTAATAACAGATTGCCAGTCATGCCATGTATCATAATCCTCTGACGTAATATCGCCATGACATTGTGACTCATTAACATACTATGGACTTACGGGTGGATGGCTCTATCATTGATCACATCGATCACATCATGTAGTTATGTCGGAGAGGAACCTTTTGTTAGTCAGACGTGGTTTTTTCTCTCAAAAAAAATATATTTTCTCTCAAAAAAAGGTTAGACGTGGTTTTCACTTGTCTATGCGGGATTAAGATTTGATTACTTTAACAAGTGAAACGGAGATGTAAGACAATTTTTCTTGTTCAGTTTCATTGATCAATATTTGAACTCGATACCTTTTAGTTAACTCGGATAGTTGCACGTTCGCGAAGAAAGTTAACTCGGATAGCATATTAAGTTGTACCTATGAGTACACTCAGTAATTTAAAAGATTAAAATGACACTATAGAAAGACCGTAAAATTTACTTTAATTTGTACTATTTCATTGACGCATCAATCTCTTGAGGTCATAGCTTAGCACTATCCATGGTTGATCTAGTATCTGGACGTAAAAGAGTGATTTGATTCAGGTTCCCCCCGCCCAATAGCGCCCCTTAATTAACCAACATATTAGCTCAATACTCAAATACTATCTCTGTTTCGAAATGTTTGACGCTGTTGAATTTTTAGTACATGTTTGACCGTTCGTATTATTCAAAAAATTTAAGTAGTTATTAATTCTTTTCCTATCATTTGATTCATTGTTAAATATATTTTTATGTAGGCATATAATTTTACATATTTCATAAAAGTTTTTAATAAGACGAACGGTCAAACATGTGCTAAAAAGTTAACGGTGTCAAACATTTTGAAACGGATGGAATATTTGGTTGTCGTCTATGCTGTTTAATGTAAAATGTTCGCTTTGCTACGTACGTTGGTTAGTCCACGCATGTTTCATTCAACGGGTCATGGATTTAATCCCAATCCCGTGCACCTAGCTAGCTATAGTATTTTTTTTTTCCAAAAATAAAAAAACCTGTACATATCTCTTGAATAATATTGTGTCTCACATCGGTTATTTTCCACCTATGAAAAACATTTTACAATTGATCAATGTAAGAGCAAGTTTAATAATATAGCTAACAACTAGCTCCAAAAATTAAAATATCACCAATAGCCAACCTGTTAGCTCGCTCATACAATAGTTAGATGTAGATATATATTGTATCATTAATACATAATCCTTCCATCTCTCTCACATAGTTTATTAAAGTTCGTGCTATATCTGACTATAAATATGTATCCCGTTTTTCTTATCTCTCATCTTCTCTCCTCTAGCACAAATCTGATGTAGCAAATTGTACAAATTGTACAACCCACGTACATTACTTTATTGTACATGTTCTAAGTTAATGTAAGCACCCTAACTTCTTGTTGATGTTACATCAAATTAATTACAGGTATAAAATTAATTATTACACCTTTTGAAACTGTTATAATCAGAATTTCGGTCCTCTCAACATCCAACCTCTCTCTCTCTCTCTCTCATTCTAGAATGTTAGACCCTATCGTACAGTCCCCAATGGGAGGGGAGGGGTTTATAAGCTCTCGATCTTCTAGCCAAATGTGTGCCACTAATGACTACTGGGGTAGCTCTCACATATCTACCCAAATGAATACGACGTGTTTATATGCATCATTATCTTATCATGGCATGCCTGAGTTGTTTCATCGATCTCCTGTCGATCATCAGGTAGCTAGCTAACTCCAATATGTAGCCACTTGGATATATTACTAGTACTGGTGCATGGTTTGACATTGGCACATGTGGCAATAATTTGAGTAGACTGGACGAACAAGCCGTGTCAACTCGTTTGATTCGTGAAAGTGCATTGCACTAGCTACTTACTCTACATGATGTCACACGTGTGATGTGTTTGAGAGCTTAGCTTCTAATTAAGCAACTCAAGTTTTTGTCTTCAATCTGCACACGTAGTTGCCACATGGGTGCATGCATGCTGCAGGTAGCTTTCTTTTACGCTAGCGAGTAGTTTATGCTACTCCCTCCGGGCTGCTAATACTTATCGTTTTAAGACAAGGGTGAGATCAAACTTTAGAATCTTTGATTATGAATTATTTTTAAAATATTTGTCTTTCAAATATGGTGACCACATGTATAGATTCGTCTTAAAAAGTACTTTAATAAAATAATATATTTATTAACACTTTTTTACATATTATAATAGAAAATAATGGTCAAAGTTGTTTTTTTGAGACCGTGCCTTTGCCTAAAACGACAAGTATTATCAACCCGGAGGGAGTATATAGAGAGAGTTCATCAAAACTAAATAGTACAGCTTCCACTCTTCGGTAGTAGTTAATTTAAATTTTAAATCTTAGTTTTAAGGTTGATTTTGCTGTTTTTAATTGTTTGTTTTACTTGCGTTGACTTTTAAGCAAAAAATACATATATAAAATTTAAACCGCGATAAATTAGTTTTTAAGTCGCTAATAAGTATTACGGCTTATAATCAGTTTCATACATAGGGGAACTGAAAGCTTCAAATATGTAAATTAAATCAACTGGAAATGAGTTTAATTACCTCAGTGCAAGATAGATCATACGAGATGTCGTAACTCGTAAGTGCAGTGCGCAACAAATTAAAGCATGTGTGGAAATTAAAGAAGCTTGGACAATGACAACTGTAAGAACGTTTGCATCGCTGTGGTGGGATTGCGTATCTATTGTGTGGTGGCGCGCAAGTAGCGGAAGTTGAGGAAAAAAAGGGACCAAAGACACGAGTGAAATAAACATGCACGGATATAGTGTGGGCCCCTTTAAAAATGTAGTAGAATTGATAAAAACAGACATGAAAAGGTTAGGATTATAATATAAATGTAATTGTTAAATAAAGAATTGCAAAATACAGAAATAAATAAATAAATATCGTTGCAATAGATGGTGAGCAGTGGTGGATCCATAATTTTGTTCATTGGTGTTATAGCATACTAATTATATTTAGAATATAGTGTTATAATATATAGACAAGCAATTTAAGCATAGCTTGTCGAAAGACGTCGGTGCCGTCTGAGACAGGTCATAACACTGTAGATCCGCTCCTGGTCGTGAGGAAACAAAAGAAAGAAACTAGAGGAGAGAAAAAGGTTCAAAGAAAATTTCCCATAAAGTTAGCCATATCATGTGTTAACTTTCCTCACATTTATTTCTCTCGAGCCATTTTATAAGGACCAGATAAGAAAATAAAGTAGGACTCAAACTTTTTTTTAAAAAAAAAATCACTATGTTTTTTTTTGTTTTTCTTTTTACAAAATCAAAGAGGGCCTTACAACACAGTACACGGAGATACCGCGGCGTCCGTCCTTTACGTAACAGCTGGAGGAGTACGTAAAGTGGCTTGCTTTTATTTGTGCCAGCCAATTCACAAACACGTCCTGCTTGCTTGCCATGTTGTTTGCCTACGCGAGGATGGACAAAGTTACGACCGCCCCCGATGGTGACGCGCATGCCTACCTGCGGGCGGCGATCTCTTATCGTCAACTCCCGCGGAGTCGTCGTCGACTCGTCACCGATCGCGCGCGTCGCATGCATAATGTGTGTGCGCTTGCGCAGGGCGGCCGCAAGCTGCCGGCCGCAAACCACGTACAACAACGGGTTTGGATCAACGCGCGCGTGCCACGCGAGAGAACCAGTGCAGGTTTGGCGGTGATTCGGGGGGATATCGCGCGCGCCACGCGAGAGGATCGTATCGCGGGATGGACGACGCGCGGGCTGCACGGAGAGTACTCGCGCGTGACGTTGTGGCCCGTGGACCGGTTTGGCGGGCAGCGCGCCCGCGTGCTTCAGCTGCGTCGGATCACAGGTCGGGCCGGCCGGATCGGAGGAAGGGACTCCGCCACAAGGAATAAGTTCATTGTACGTCCCTCAATTTGTCGCCAAATCCGAAATTCGTCCCTGAACCGCAATATGACGAGTCCCTTAATTCTTAAAACCGGTGCAAAGAAAGTCCAAGACAGTTTGGTTGACGTGGCGGCGTCTACGTGACATTGATAAAGTCAGAAAAAACATGGGACCCACATATCAGCGTGTGTTCGGATAAAAATAAAAATATGCAGTGAGACCCATATCATCCTCTCTCTCTATTTCCCCTCTTCTCTAACCTTCCTCCTCTCTCTCTCCCACTTCTGTTCGGAGGAGAGCGGCATGGCCGCGGAAGCATGAGGCGGCAGAGCTCGTTGCGGCAGCGCTCCAGCAGGATTCACACCGTTGTTTGCGCTCCTCGCGCCGCTACCTGAGCCCTGAGCTGCCGCTGGAGCCCTGACGATTTTTGTCATGGCATGGAGTGGCGGAGTGATGCCACCATCAACAACCTGGGCTACCTCACCCGGCGGACAAGCTCTGGTGGATGCTTGTCCCAGCGGCCGATGTCTATATATATATAGGGATGTGCTAAACGGCACCTAGGGTGCGTTATAACTAAACTACTCCCCTCACAACCCCCAACCCCCACCCTCCCTCCTACCCCCCCAGCTGCACCCACCCCACATCCCTCACCCTGCACCTTTTAGAAATAACGTATAGTAAATTAATTACTAAATGATTGTTTGTGGCGCAATATACGATAAGTAACATATTTACTATACGTAAAAATTGAATGATGTATCAATCCCGCACCTTTTGCTAGCCCAGCCACCAACAATAATATGTGTGACTTTAGTAATTCATTTACTATTAGTATGTTTTTGATAAGTAATCGAGTTACTATTCTCGAGTAAATGAGTTACTATCAGAGACAAAGCCCATTAGTAAATGAGTTACTAACAGATAAGAGTAACATTTGTTTGGCACTTCCCTTATTGGCCCATGAGTAAATGCATTACTAACAGAGACTTGGCCCACAATGAGTTACTAACAGATAAGAATATCGTTTGCTAGCCACATCTCATATTGGCAATGAGTACATGCGTTACTAATAGAGACTCGCCCATGAGTAAATGATTTACTAATAGATAAGAAGCAACATATTCATGGAATAAAAAAAATTATTGATATGTATTGGGATTATCCAATCATGGAGGGAGTAAAAAAGTTACTTAGTAGTTGATTGGGCCTGATATATAAGGTAGTAAATATTTTACTGCACGAATACGGGTATAATGGACTTTGTTTTTACAATTGATCGTGCCATCATCGTTACAAACACATATACACCCGGTACCCAAAAAAAAAGCACAATCCAGAGGGCATCGCATCGCCTGCCACCGAAGCCTGTCATCAATTGTGGTGTGGTCGTCCTGGGCTGACCCTTTGTGTTGGCTGCCGGCGACGAACGTTGACGAAGGACATGTCGAGGATGCCATTCCAGTGGCACCATCACCACTGGCATAATCTTCTCATGTTCTTTTCTAGTTTCCTGAACACAAATGAATTCACAATTAAAAAGAAAATTCAGATATAGATGAGCAACCAAAAAAATTAGAACATGTACATCTTCAGCAGAGCAAATACCAACCACCATACCATCAAGATGTGCATCCACCTGCAAGAGTGCACACTGTAGATGCTGATGCCTGCAAAAATTAGAAGTTAATCATTTCAGTAAAATTTAGACCTTAGTCTTAGTCTGAAGATGTCTGTTCTGTCAAAAATATACAGAGAAAAAAGGGTATGTTCAACAGCGAACATATCTAGTCAGAAGTTCAGAAAAAAAGAATTCAATTGATGTGCTCCTTTGAACAACAAAAATTTAGAAAACTGCTATTCGATCGAGCTTTTTGAGTTTTCATCTATCCGAAAATTCAGAATCAGGACATGCAGTACTAATTTCAGAAAAATACGACGAATACTGTACACATGCTGTAAAAATATCACATATCTCAGAGTTTACACATCTCACAGGACATGCAGTACTAATTTCAGAAAACTACGACGAATACTGTACACATGCTGTAAAAATATGACATATCTCAGAGTTTACACATCTCACTGCATATTTTGCAGTCCTGAAAATCGTGACCAAAATTCAAAACTCATGAGCCCCATAATAACCATATAACACTAGCCTATCAGAGATATGCCTGAAAACTCAAGAACACTGTTAGTCTATAATTAGTGCTGAATTCCATGATCCAACAAAAAATAAAAATAAGAACTTCCCTACACTAGAATCATTCATGCTATTCTGTTCAGCAAGAGTTCCAGAGCTGTGCAATTGGAAGAAAGATTTAGGCCAACAAACACACAAACTAAGAACGAATCAGGTACTTTAAGCAAAAAATGATCTGAACATTCCCGCAATTGAAAGAAAAGAAGTGCAAGAACTGCTCAAGTGAAATGAGACCAGACCTTCATCCTAAAGTGTGCAGGAATTAATCATATTCCCCATACAATTCATGCCAGAATCAAAACTCTAAAACTAGGAAAAGCTGAAATTGTTTGTACTGCTAGAACTAGATTAGTGAACCAAATTTGTCACTTGAATTGCTAGTAAAGTACCTGAACTGCTCGTAAAGTAATTAAACAATGGCTCCAATATCTCTAATTAGTACCTGAAGAATCAAAGCACAAACAGCATCGCATAACATTGTTATTCAGCCAAATTAACCGAAAAAAAACCTCCAAGATTTCAGCAATTGGAAAGACAACAAGTCATTACAGCTTATTGAATAGATCCCACAACAGTCTGAGCACTCAAAAAAACTATGTCCAATTACTCAAAAAAACTATGTCCAATTAAAATAGTATGGAGAACAAACCGAATGGAGACCACGGCAAGACGACATCGCAGCACCCTAGACCACGGCAAGAGGGATGTCGGGGACGCGCGGGGCCGCTGGATACGGCGGATCTGGCGGCAAGGCTCCCAAAGGCTACACCCTTCTTCACCCCTGGCGTCCTCAAGTATTCCTCGTCGATGCAGGCTAACCTATGGAGTGCAGGGAGCAGGAGCTCGTGTCGCCCTGTAGCTTGTACATCTGGAACAGAAGAACAAGGGGCATCCACCAGCAAGGAGCTTCTCACATGATACCCATGCCATTGAAGCTTCCAGATCTGGAGCAGAACCACCATGCAAAATCCCATCGCATGAAGTAAAGAAAAAAATAAAGAAAAACCAAATTCTGATTCGTTCCTATACGCAGGGAGGGCAGAGGAACCCTATAAATCCCCTAATCCCCAAACCCTAGAGAAGTCCCCACCTCACCGAGGAGAACGATACAGCAATGGGGATCCAGCGGAGGGGTTGGCGTCGGGAGGTAGCGCGGGTGCGGTTGGTGGAGGCCTCGTCGGCAGCCTTGGCGGAGGCAGCGCGCTTCTTGCTTTTCTCGCTTGAGGGAGGGAGCCGACGACAACCGCGGAAACGAGAGCGAAACCGTCCTCGCCTCCTCGCCAGACATGGACATGCCCGTTCTTGCCGCCTAACCCATTAGATCCAGCACGCCGCCTCCTCCCTGTAGCACGCCATCGCCGTCGCCGCCGCCTCCGCTTCCTGATGCCACAGCTGCCGAGCCGGCTTCCTGCCTCTGTAGATCCAAAAAAAAAAGGGGGGGAAATTGATTAGTGGTTAGTTACGGTGTGGGACCAACACATGTATGTATACGACGATTCAAACACTACTACCAGTAAAACAATTACTCAGTAGAAATTGATAGTACCGTTAGTAACACCATTACGGGAATTGAGGGGGACAGGGATGTGCTAGTGTGGTGTGGTGTGGTGTGGGGGTAGGGGTAGGGGTGTGGGTTGCCCCCGGGGGGTGGGGTGGGGGGTGGGTTGCGGTTTAATACAACGCAACCGTATAGTGTGTGCTCCAAATCAAGAGCAGTAGCATTAGCTTACCAACTCTTCGCTCTCACTCATTGCTATACGCTTGATCGTCATTTGCCACAAGTTAATATTATCAATAAAAAGCTATCTGCAGTGTCCAGTTCTTCGATACCCACCTAAGCTCTAGCAGCAGCATAATTCAGAGGTAGGGGCCATAGCACGTAGTACTAGCTCGATCCATGGGTCGCCCGCCGCGCTCACCCGCCGCCACGAAGTCGCGAGGGGATCTCCATGCAAGACGAGCACAACATCGGCAACAGAGCCCGCCCGCTGCGCCAGCTCTGCCCGCCGTCGCGCTCGCTTTGCCGGCCGCCGCTGACGGCCTCTCCCCCCATCTGACGCCACGCCCGCTCGAGAGAAGAGAAGAGAAAAAGGAAAGAAAGAGATGCGGTATGTGGGCTCTATATTTTATTTTATTTTATTTTTGCTGACTATGATGCCACATCAGTGAAACAAGGCAGAGGATAAGGGATGTCAAAAAAAAATCGATGTAAACTGTAAAGTTGAGGGACGCCAGTTGAACTTATTCCTATTTGTGATCAGTTAGGCGGCCCATCGAACGATGGCTGACGCAGAAGTCACGCTCACTCTGACCACTCACTAAAATTTCTCCTCACTACCACCAACAAATAAATTTATCCCCTTTTGCCAAGAGTGAACCAATCACTTCAACAGAATCAAAATGCAAATATACATGAGAAGAATGGGGGGATGGGTTCTAAACACTCTAGCATTTTGCCATGAGGATATCCAAGTGCTGTTCGTTCATTCAGCGTCTGTTGCAAAGCAGTTCCTTCCCGACCAATTTCCAACCCCTTGTTCACCTCACAGCAAATCTGCAACCCAAGACCAAGAGGCTCTCTTTTCGTCTTCCGTTCCACACTTTCACTGGTTACTCAAACCAGGCCTCTCCGACCATATACTTCTCTCAGGAGCTCGTATCTCGCGTTCGACATAGAGCCACCTTGCCGTGTAGTCGAACGAGAGGCCCCGTTGCAGGGTGAGGGTGGAGAGCTCCTGTCGTACAGGGACGCCAGGGGGTTGCCCAGGTCGTCCAGGTCGTCGTCGCTGGTGTACCCTCTCCTCTGCACCATGGAGGCCCTCAGGTCCGGCTCCGCGTTCCCGCCTGCGTCTGCTACTTTCTCCGCGACATCCTCCGGTGAAGGGGGGCAGTAGACAACAGGAGCCGCGACGCAGGGGAATGTGGTGATCACATCTTTCTCCGTGAAGCGCTCCAGCAAGCTCTGTGTGAAAATTTAGCAACCAACACTGATTGAGAAGGTGTAGAGTGAAACTATAGAAGTATCTTGGTTAGTCATTACATATGGTGAGCAAGATTGTATTTGGACTTTGTAATGCTACAATGCAATAATATCATTTAGCAAATAGACGTCGTACCTCGGCATTCAGCTCCTCTAAAACCATTCCAGGAACAGGTTCAGGACAGAACTCGTCAGGAGTGAAGTTGCAGAGTATCCTTGTTACCAGTGGAATGCCAATAGAAGGGCAGACCTAAACAGAATGACAAAATTTTAACTGCAGCACTGAACCTGAATATATGTTCCAACTTAAGAGTTGGAGTGACTAAGCATGAATACTGACCTCCTTCCTGATGGACTTTTCAAGAAGCATGTCCTTTGGGAGCATCAGAAGATCACTTAACTCGTTGAGCAGCTTGAAAGAATAAAAATCAGCAGCACCACTTCTGTCATCACTCTCATCTCCTGCTTGACCATGCTTCTCAGGGGCAGCAGCAACCATGCCAAACTTATCTTGCAACCATCGGGACCAATTTCCGATCTGAAGAAGCATTTGGTCCATTAACATTTGGTTTTGTTTGCAAGGAAGAGATGATTTAAAACACATGTTCTGGTTTGTTCTTCATGCAGTTACAGGAAACGTTCCAACGTAAGTGGTTTTAAACTAAGAACGTAGTTGTTTTGCAATTTGGGCACATACCGAGTTCTTCAGCTGTGCACCTGATCCAAAGCTGAAGTCACCAGCTGGAATCGGTAGAACTCTTGAGTCGACAATCGGGTCAGATATAGGATCAGATGGTACTTCATTTGCAGATTCACGCAGGACTGCATTAAACATAGCAACGTCTAAACGAGCTACACAGTGCTCCATCACCTGACAATAATAAAACAACTCATGCATAAACTTCACAAAAATGATTATTCTTCTCAAATTAAATATCAATGATTAAACATACCAGTTTTGCCAACACTGGTAAGCATCCACACTCATGTCCACCAGCACGAAGAGGACATATTCTGCTGAAGGCATCTTGGAAAGCAGTTTTCCAAAGATGAATGGAGAAGTTCCCTTGTTGCTGATCACCCAAAGCAGGTCCCAACAAACTCCCAGCCTTTGGACTTGATATATCTTTCACCAGTGTTTGCATGTGGGGTGTCAATGCCTGAAAAGGAAACATCCTTCAGAAAATTGACAACAAAATGAATCGAAAAAGCTGTCTGCTATCCTAGTTTTACAGAGAATAAAATGTACTCAATTTCCTAAAAAGTGCCGAGAAAGCATAAGAAAGGTTTTACCTGCCACCACACTGACTCAACAATCCGAGAAAAGATCCATGATTCAATCTTCTCCAGTGCAGCCACGAGTGTACCAGTTTCCCGCCAATCATCAGGTAATGGCCAGATAGCAGGTCTAGCATGCTTGCCACTGTAGTTGTTTTTCCGCCGCGTTGGTGAAGAGTTCTTACCGAGCATCTTTGCATTAACATTTGTGCTGAAAGCCTTCATAGCAAGACTTGGTTGGCGTGTAATGCCAAATGTTTGTGCAATGATCTCTCTTAGGACAACGGTGTTTGATAGCCAGAATGTCAACCTACATAAAGATTTATTTTAAAAATGATGGTATGCGGAAATATAAGCTACACAGAGTTACATACTATATCCAATTACAGATACTTTACCTTGAAACATCATTTCCACAAGACTTTGCAACAAGGACAAGCCCAGAAACGAAGTTCTTTGTGACAGAAGCTTTCTTATCAGAGGACCAAAACTTTGATGCATGAACATATAGCCTGGACAGACGCCGAGCTGGTGTGTGCAATTTATGCGATGAACAACCGTGCTCTGGCACTACTGAATAAAGAGAAATCTCAAGGGCAGCAACTTCTCGAAGTTCCTGCTCCAACCTTTCACATTTAGATTCTAATTCCTCACTCTTTTCATATGCAGCTGATTTACCATCATAAGCTATGCTTTCTTCAGTATCAGCTATTTCCTCGTCAGTAGCAGTACTCTGATCACAATTTGGGGCTTCATCCAATATATCAATCTCCTTTGCCTCTTCACTAGATTTAACATCAGCTGCTATACCCGCAATGGTCCTATCATCAGTGCCACTCTCAATGCTCCTTTCATCAGTGGTGTTGTCCTCAACGGTCGTATCATCAGCAGCTTTTCCTTCAGTGGCCTTATCATAAGAGGCCGTGCCCTCAGTGGCCTTATCATCAGCTACATCCTCAATGGATTTATCATCCGTCACTATATTCTCAATGGGTTTATCATCCATCTCCTCAGACACCTCAGATGAAGGACAAGAAGGAACTGTCACTGTATCTGGCTTTGTTATCTCAATGGTTTTAGCACCATCAGATGTTTTGTTTGGCTTTGGAGATTTGCTCTGCAAATTGTTTGACGATATATATTGCAGCTTAGTCTGCACTTGGCGATTGGAATTAATTCTGCCTGAGCGTGGGCTGTTTTCCTTTGAATCTTTCTTCACTAGCTTCTTTGGAACCCTTGAGACTCTTTTGGCTCTGGTATCTTCATTGCTGTTAGCCTCACCCTGAGATGAAACAGAGTCTCTAGCTGGTTCATAGTCCGATTCAACTTCTTTTCCTTGTTTACCATCCCGTTCCACATCAGTCGAACGCTCTTCTCTCCCTTCCATATTCTCTACAGTACCCATCTCAAAGGTTGTTTAGTGCACTAGAAACTTGATACCTGTATATAACACCAAGAAAGTTAGTAACAAGAGCAAAGGTCTAGCAACTTGATCAGGTCAATGAGCAAGATAGCAAAAGAGCTTTCAAGGGTGGTCCGACCCTGCAACATAATGATTATGACAGGAAAAAGTCACGCACAAAACAGCTTGTACATAAATTGCTTTAACTGAAGAGATCAAGAAAATGTACTACAAGTGCAGTACAAGTTCAGAGAAGATAAATAACTTACACTGCACCCAGAGTAAAACGCTAAGAAGCCCATGTTCATAACTTCATAACATTGAACAAGTGATAGGACATCAAATGAATAACTGATCTCCAGCTTGTCTCAACAGCTGTACAGCTAAGCAGAATCTCCACCTTAAAGAAGCATCTCAAGCAAGATTTTTCACCTTAAACCGACGTAATAACACGAGAATTCAGTACAATTATGCTTCCTTGTCCAGTCGATCTCAGGAAGAAGGTGGTTGTTAAGCACATGGCAGTGGGGCACGCTGGTCTTGGACCATCATGCGACTTGGATTGCATTGGAGAATTTGAGGTCCCAACGGCGCGAAAGAGCCCCAGACATAAAGCTGTACAATAACTATAATACAGGCAGATCTGACAAGCCGCAGATTTGGAAAAAGCTAACCACAATCCATGATGAATATGCATACTGGCCACCAGTGACAGTGAGCTATCCAGTACTGGATTCCATACCAAATAACCCCAAGTCCTCCTAGTCATTGCCCACATTCACCAATCACCACACGAAGCAGCTAAATACTAGGCAAGTGCAGTGATACTACTTTGGATGGATGGAGCAAATGGCTAGAGCAATTCACCATGTAAAAGTTCAAGATTAACACATACTAGTGTATATATATTGACAAATTTCGGATGCCACCGATGGTCCCCAAATTCACATTCCGATGCTCCGTACGCGCAGAATTTTTTTTTATCAGGTAACCGCTAGTGCAGGAGAATTCAAGCCAATCATATGCGCGAAAGAAGTAAAGGAAAAAAAAACAGAAAGGTGACATGAGAAAACTATCATCTCCGATCAATGCGCAAATGCGGATCAAAACATACTAACAATCGGCTATACGGCTAGCTTCCCCTCCCCAATTACGAACAAAAAAAAATGCGGACATCTCATCCATGTCGCAGGTACAGAAACGATCAGCGCGTGCAGTTATTAGAGGAGAAGAAAATCAACAATCAAAACAGCAAACGAGGCCAACCAACCAACCCAATATCGAATCCAATACGACACCGCGAAATCCCACACCGCACAACAGCGCACACGAACTAGATTGGGGGATGATGATTCGGGCCGGGGAAGCGGAACGGCGGAGGTGGTGGGGGCAAAAAAAAATAATAATATATCAGAATGCTCCTCACCTCACCTGCCTGTGCCTGTTGCAATTTCGCCGCTTCAGTTGCCGCGACGCGAGCCCGAGCGGTTGCCGACTCCAAATCCGAGCGGGAGGATGGATGGACGACGAACGTGCTCGCGTTGGATCAGCGACGCGGCGCCGCCCGCCCCCCGCGGGCGTGTGCGGAATGTCCGTGCGGCGGCGGCGGCGGCGGTCGTCAGCGGCGAGGGGCGGTGGCAGTGGCACCGCGTGGGGGTGGTGGGTTTTTGGTTTTTTGGGGTGGTTTCGCTGCGGGCTGTTTATATCAACGTGCATTTCGAGGCACCCTCTCTCGACTCGAGTCGGTTCACCGCACGCGGTCAGCCTACCTGCCGCTTTCCACGGCATCTCAACCATTTTTTTTCTCCAAATAACGAGTCTTTTTTAAATTTTTATTATGTACTCCCTCTTTTATATTATAAGGGCTGTGCACCACGGAAAATGGAACGGTTAATTAGCACATAATTAATTATATATTAGTTATTTTTTAAAAAAATATCAATATATTTTTAAAGCAACTTTCTTATAAGGATTTATTTTGCAAAAAAAAAGTATCGTTTAGCAATTTAAAAAGCATGCGCGCACAATAGAAATAAGTGAGTTGGGAAGTGCTAGGTCATTTATTTTTTATCAAGATTGTAAAATATATAACAATACGTATAGCACTAAATTTATTTCATTACGTCTAGCTTCTGATAGTTTTTTTTTTGGTTGAAAACATTGCTATAATTTTCTATAAATTTAATCAAATCTAAAGAGGATTGACTTAAAAAAGTTAAAATAACTTGTAATTTAAAACAGAGGTAAATTTTCTATAAATTTAATTGACTTAAAAAAGTTAAAATAACTTGCAATTTGAAACAGAGGTAGTATATTTAAAGATATTTTCAGAATATATAGGGTTACGTTTATTGGATTCGCCTAATAGCGGCAACGAAACATAATTTTGGATACGACTTTTGTATTTCTACAATTAGTGATTTCAAATTAAGTTCAGAAATTAAAATTAAAAAGCACCTATAATAATTTAAAATTAAGTTTAAAATTTTAAATTTTAGCTTTGACTTAGGCTGCAAATTGCTTTAGCCTTTCGGATGGAAGTAATTAGGATATGATTAATTGAGTAATAAATGTTATACACTTGAAAAATATATTTATTTATTTTCCAAAAAACCTTCATATATATATATATATATATATATATATATATATATATATATATATTCTAAAATATGTACTTCCTTCGTTTCATATTGTCAGGGTTACGGGTAAGGTATACCCTCTACCCTTCGATATACGTCACATATCGATATGGTATACATACGCGTATACAGATGTTTTCGGCAACCTCCGACGATATCGCCTCATGCTCAATCCAGAGAAGTGCACGTTCGGAGTACCATTGGGCAAGCTGCTCGGTTTCCTCGTCTCTGGCAGAGGAATAGAAGCAAATCCCGAAAAGATCAAGGCAATCGAAAACATGAAGTCGCCTACAAGACTAAAGGAAGTACAGAAGCTAACCGGATGCATGGCGGCACTAAGCAAGTTCATCGCTAGGTGAGAGAGTGAGGACAACCTTTCTTCGCTCTGCTGAAGAAGCAAGACAAATTTGTATGGACACAGGAAGCCGAAGAGGCATTCATTGCACTCAAGCGCTACCTATCAAATCCACCTGTACTTGTTGCCCCCCAACCTAATGAAGAATTATTTCTCTATATCGCCGCCACGCCATATTCCGTTAGCACTGTCATTGTTGTCGAGAGAGAGAAGGTGCAACGACCAGTCTACTACGTCAGCGAAGCTCTCCACGACGCAAAGACAAGATATACACAGATCCGAAAACTGCTCTACGCGGTAATCATGACATCAAGAAAGCTACGCCACTACTTCCAAGCCCACAAGGTCACAGTTGTATCCTCCTTCCCTCTCGGTGAAGTCGTGAGAAACAAAGACGTTGTCGGCCGCATTGCAAAATGGGTAGTCGAGCTAAGCCAGTTTGATGTCCACTTTGTGCCACGAACAACCATCAAGTCCCAGGTACTCGCCGACTTCGTAGCCGATTGGACTATGCCTGATAATAGGTCAGACAACCAAATCAACAACGAAACGTGGACAATGGTGTTCGACGGCGCACTCAACAGCCAAGGAGCAGGGACATGATTCATCTTGACGTCACCTTCGGGAGATCAATTCAAGCATGCAATTCACCTCAACTTCAGGGCGACCAATAACACAGCCGAATACGAAGGACTACTCACCGGGATAAGAGCTGCAGCTGCACTCGGAGTCAAGCGACTAGTCGTGAAAGGGGATTCCGAACTAGTCACGAACCAGGTGCATAAAGATTACAAGTGCTCTAGCCCCGAGTTATCTACGTATCTCGCAGAAGTCAGGAAACTGGAAAAAAGGTTCGATGGGATCGAGGTTCGACACGTGTACCGCAAGGACAACATCGAACCGGATGATCTAGCACGGCGTGCGTCCAGACGAGAGCCACTCGAACCTGACACCTTTCTGGACGTCCTGACAAGGCCATCAGTGACGTTGCCACCACTCGTTGTGGCAGCAGCGGCAGCAACATCGGACGCCTCCTTGGCGACGTCCTCCTTCAGCGACGCCGCCGCCTGATGATCCACGAGCGGCCCGATGATATCAGTCAGAGGGAGAGCCTACGCTTCATGAAGTCACAATGTGATCCCGGAAGTAAAATGCAAAAGGGCCGCTGAGTACACTTACATTGATGGCAGCTTCGCGTTCGACTGCCCCCTTCTCGCAAAGGGGGACGGGGACGTTGCTCGTCGTTGTCGGGCCGCTGATCATCAATTGGCCGACGCGACGCTTCACGGTTGCGCTGTTCAAGCCTATAGATCGAGACCAGAATTCGATAAGTCAGGAGGAACACGCACATAAGGGAGTCAATTCAACTACAAAAAAAATACCCCGAGGAGAAACCCGGGTCGCGTCCTCCGGCCTAGAATAGTCAAAGGCTGGGTGGGCTCAAGCCTAGAGCAGCTGGATCCGCCTACCAATGAAGTCGGTAGTGACTTCATACCCCGACAACCCCCGTTCTCGGAGGTCATCAATGATATCGACGAAAGATTTGAGGGATGGGGTCAAGGCGGGTTTGGCAGTCCAAGATGAAATCTTGGCTGGTTGCTCCTTAGAAACAATGAAGACCGGATCCGAATCTTCTATCTGAAGATAGAACCACCTCCCCCGCCATTTGCTGCGAGATGAAGGGCACTGGAAGGGGATGTATCGCGACTTCAGGCCATCCCGAAGTCGGAAACCGACACATCCGGACACCTTTTTTGGTTCCATCCAGCGCAACTCATAGTAAAAACGGAAGAGGTCAAGAAACGGCTCTACCCCAATGTAGGCCTCACAAAGATGCGAAAAGATACTGAGGAAGGCGATGGAATTGGGGTTCAAATGGAGCAAGAAAAGGCTGTAGAAATTCAAGACCAAGAGAAGAAATTCAGAAGGCGGAGGAAGAAAACCATAAAGAATATAGTCCTCGATCGCAACCATGCGACCCAGGACAGGCTGGGGTTCAGTACCTCCTGCTTCTCTCTCCATGGTCCCGCGACCGGGAAGAGCGCCATCCTCCTATAGCTTCTTCAGCGACGCACTGGTGGAGGTAGACTTGTCGAGGTCCATTGCCGCCGGGGTTCGCCGGAGAAAGGACCGAGACGAGCTAGCTAGGGTTTTTGCGGAAGCGGAGAAGACGAGGGACGCTTGGAGGCTGGAGAGTTTTTTCACAACCGGCGGACTTCAAATTGGATCCGCAAAACTCCCTTAAATAGTCGCACTTCCGATGGTGCGAATTCCAAGGAAAGGAGAGAGATTACCGCCGGAAATTTCTGGGTCCATTACGCGCAGTAGTTTTTTGGACTTCAATTTAAATTCACTCATGACCATTGAGCTTCACAGGGCGTTGTCGATCACTCCTTATCCCTCGGTCCTCACACCGAGAACAACAACAACCTCGACATCAGAAGTCACGATCGGTTACACGAGTTCATTTAAGCAGAAGTCGGGGGCTACTGTCAGGGTTACGGGTAAGGTATACCCTCTACCTTTCGATATACGTCACATATCGATATGGTATACATATGCGTATACGGACATTTTTGGCATACGTTAAGGAAATTCATCATGGAGTTCACAAATGGAAGGAGTCCTACTCGGACAGAACTGGGTCGTCATTGTATCGTGCTGGGTCCGATGTCTCCGAGTCCTACTTGGAGACCAGTTGACCTGCGATATAAAAGGGACCCCCCGGGAGGACCTAAGGCATCGAATCTCATAATCAAGGCAACCACCACAGCCTACGAAGCCGGAGCCTACAGGAGCCAAGTCGCCGGGTGATCTAGTCGAATCAACTCGACTACGATCTCGTCGGTATCGTCGAGTTCCACTATCCCCCTTGTAATCTGTGGTTTCCATCATATAATCTCATATCAATTGGATTAGGGCTATTACCTATCAAGGGGCCTGAACCGGTATAATATTTGTTTTCTGCCTACTTGATGTCGTATTACGTAGATCCTTGTACCAGCGTACCCATAGTAGATTCATTAACATTTATATAAATGTAGTCAATGCTAACAAGTCTTATAATATGAAACGGAGGGAGTATTGTTTATGAGATTAGAAAACGTGCTAACGATAAATAAGAAAGCAAAACATTCCCTTGCAAGGCAACAATTAAAGCAGTGATAATGACCGTTAATAAAAAGCAGTGATAATGGAAAAGATATTCCCTCCATCCCATTTTAAATATAGATATAGTTTTCGTGTCCAACTTTAATCGTTCAACTTATTTAAAAATTATTTTAAAAAATTTAAAAGTATAAGTCATATGTAAAGTAAAGTATTGTTTATGTTTTATCATCTAATAAAAAAATACTAATTATAATTTTTTTAAAATAAGATGAATAATTAAAGTTGAATAAAAAACTTATAATTGCAT